GCGTCGCGCGAGATCCTGTCTGGAGCAATCGGAGCAATCGGAGCAAATAATCTCGAGCACCTCACGCGGGCACCTCACACCTCACGCGCCCGAGGGTCATCTCTTCGTCGACGGGCGCGATGGCGACGGAGTTCGACGAGGCGGAGATCCTCAACGACATCACCGGGAGCACGGACCCGATCCTAATCCCCGGGAAGGGCGCGCAGGCTATGCCGAAGCGCAACGCGGTCGTCATCGCCGCGCGCAAGGAGACCGCGCTCGCGACCGTCCTCCGCGCGCAACAGCGAGAGGGCTACCGCGCCGACCACCTCGTCGGGCCGATATGCCGGCACGTCCTCCTCGCGAAGAACAACAGCACGGCGTCGCAGCTGAGGCTCGCGGTGGACGTCGTCGGGCACGCGAACGTCGTCGCGGAGGACGAGGCGGGGCTCGCGTTCACGATCCGGCAGGGCATCTCGCGACGGCGAAATTTCGAAACCGACATGCGCGCGCTGGAAGCCGCGGGCGCGGGCGGCCCGGGCCCGGCGGGCCCGCTCCCCGCGACCGCGGACGAGAGCCTCGAAGCGCATCTGCGCCTTCTCATGCACGCGCCGCCTCGGCTCGCGGCGTCGATCGTGTGGGCGGACAGAGAGCTCGTGGAGCGCTACGTCAAGGGCGGAGAAGCCGCGGGGCCGGCGCCGCCGGCGAATGATGACTCCGACGCGACGAGCCCCGCCGCCGCGGTCGCCGGGCGGTTCTTCGTCCCCGACGCCGCGCGCGCGGCCGCGATCGCCGCGATCGGCCGCTGCCTCTCCCGCGCGACCGCGCTGGACGCCCTCGTCGGCGTCGCGCCGTACGGCTCGGACGCGACGGGCGCGTACAGCGACGGCGCGCGATTCGCGCAGTCGCTCTGGCGCCGCGTCGTCGGCGCGTGCTCGGGCGCGGACGACCAGCCGCCGCCGTCGCCGCGCGTGCAAATCTCCGCGCTGAACGCGGTCGCGCTGCTGATCGGCCCCGCGCTCGACGGGTGCCACCCGGTGTTGCCGCGATTATTCGCGCTGCACGCGCCGGACCCGAGCAGGTTCGGGTACTACAGCGGCGGCGGCGCGACGGACGAAGCGCGGTGGCGCGGCGCCGCGTCCGACGGCGACGGCGGAATCGCGCGCGGCGCGGCGACGAGCGCGACTGGGGACGACCCGACCGGCGCCGCGTGCCCGCTTCTCGCCGCGCTGCGGTTTGAAGCGTGCGTGCACGTGCTGACGCGAGCGGACGCGGTGACGGCGCGGGCGAACGCGTTGTCGTTGGAGTGGCGCGGCGTCGCCGCCGCCGTCGCGACGGCGCCGGCGTGCGCGGCGCTCCGCGCGGCGCCGCCGCCGAAACCGCGGACGATCGACGACCCGGTCGGCGGCGACGGCGAGGACGGCGCGCTCGCGGAGGATGATAACGCGTCGAAGGTGAACGTTTTAATGCGGTTACGCGACGCCGGGTGCGCGGCGCTCCCCGTCGCCGGCGCGCAAGCCGCGCTCGTGGAGGATCTCGAGAAGCTCCGCGCGATCGCGATGAAGGCGGCGAACGCCGCGGGCGAAAGCCTCATGCGCCGCGCGCTCGTGGAAGTGTCGCAGTGCGGCGGGTACAGCACCGGAGGGACGTGCGCGCTCGCGTGCGGGTTCGGGATGCTATCGCTGTCCGGGTCGCTTCCGAAACACGCGCAGCCGTTGGATTGGGCGTCCGCGGGGTGCGCGGCGTTGTTCGCCGCGTTCGACCGGCCGCAGACGCCGCAGGTCAACGACGCCGCGGTCGCGATGGAAGACATCCGGCCGACGCCGAGGGGTCCGATCGGCGCGGGGTTTAACTTCGACGTCCCGAGCGGCGCGAGCGCCGCCGCGGAGACCGCGGCGAAGGCGGGGAAAGCCGCGCGCGGGCTCTTTGGGAGAAAAAAAGCCGCCGCCGCCGCGCCGACGGCGCCGGCGCGGTCCGCCGCGGAGCAGCGCGCGGACGCGCTCGCGGAGGCGACGTACTCGATGTCGAAACAATCCGCGAGCGACGCGTTGCGCCTCCCGAAATGGCGCCCCAGCGACGGCGCGGACGCGGTCGCGCCGGTGTCCAAAGCCGCCGTCGCGTTCGCCATCGCCACGGCGTTGCCGACGATGCCGATTCATCAACCCCTTCCCGCGATTCGCGCGCTCGTGAACCGCGTGCGCTTGGGCCTCTGCGACCGCCCGGACCTCCGCGTCGCGGTCCTCGCGATCGCGCTCTTGACGCACGCGCGGATGCGCACGCACCCGGAGGCGATCATCGTCATGTCCCCGCTCGGGGAAATTCTCGCGGTGTACATGGACGAAGATCAGACGCCGAAACGCGCGGCGGCGGCGGCGACCGCGGCGGTTCAAAACGCGCAGCGACAGATCGCGTCGTGGACGAACGAGGACGGGAAAGCGATCGGCGGAAAGATCGCGCGCGCGGAGACCGCGGACGTCGAGGCGAGTCTTCCCGGTCTGAAAGCCGCGGCGGCGGAGGCCAACGCCGCGATGAAACAGACGCAGTTCCGCGAAGAACTCGTCGTCGCCGCGGTGGAGGGTATCCTGAGCATCAAACCTCGAAACGACGTGGAGCTCTCCGGGTGGTTACAAGTCGCGCTCGAGGCGTCCGCGACGCTGCGGACCGTGCCGCTGTGGCAGGGGTTATGCGGAAGAAGAGCCGCCGCGGACGCGACGTTTCGGTTGCTCGCGAGGCTGTGCGCGACGACGCGAGCGTGCGTCAACGCTCGACCGGGCGCGACGGACGCCGAGGGCACGCACAAAGCCGCGCAGCGCGTGCTCACCGCGCTGACGCAAGAGGTCGCGGCCGCGGCGGAGAAGGGGACGCTGGACGACGCGGCCGCGGCCGCGGCGGCGTGGATCGCGTCGAGACACTTGGACTTCGCGTCTCCCTCGGTCTCGGGGGTCGGGAGCGTCGGGACGCCCGGAGGTCCGACCGCGAGGGTCGTCACCGGGTTAGTCGCCGGGTTACTCCGAGGCGGCGTCGGCAGAGCGAGTTGGGATAAGAAAACGGCGAGCGAGCAGCGATCCGCGGGGACGCTCAGCGGGAAGGGCGGGAAAGGCGGCGGGAAGCAAGCGAGAGACGAGGCGTCCGCGGCGGCGGCGGCGATGGCCGGCCTCGCGTGCGTCGACCTCCTCGCGCAGCGGTGCCCCGCGATGATCCCCGGACTCGCGAAGTTGATGACGGACGTGGGGAACTCGACGGAGGGCGGCGTCGAGAACATCGGGCACGCCGCGAGCGCGCGCGCGAAGACGACGCGCGCGCGGCTCGCGCTCGCCGCGGCGGCGACGGAAACGGGCGCGGACGCCGCGGCGGCGGGCGAGAACGGCGGTCGAACGCCGCCGTCGCGTCCGCCGCCGCCGACGCCGCCGACGCCGCCGGACGTCTTCCCTCCGTCCGCGCCGCCGCCGCCGCTGCTCCTCTCCCACCTCGCCGACGGCGGCGGTCGAACGCACGGCGCGTCGAGCGAGAGCGACTGGTCGTTGACCTCCGCGGCGTGGCGCGCGCTGCACGCGGACGTCGTCGACGGCTTCGCGAGCCGCCCGCCCGTCGCTCGCGTGCCCCTCAGCGGAACGTCGGACCCGCTGTACGTCGAAGCGTCGCATGTCGCGTCCCCCGGCGCGCGACGTCTCACGGTCATCTTCCGCTGCCGCCCGCCGCCGACGTCGAACGCGCCGAACGCCGCGGGCGCGTCCGCCGCCGCGCTCGCCGGGTTGCTCAAGATTGGCCTGGAAGGCGCGTGCGCGCTCGTGGACGGCGCGTCGAGCGCGGCGGCGAGGTTAGGGACGCCGTCCGCCGCGGTCGAGCGAGCGACGCTTCAGCCCCCGCGCGAGGGCCGCGTCCCCGGGCACGCGATACGAACCGTCGGCGCTGGATGCGACGAGGAGTCCGTCGTCGCCGTCGACGTCGCGGTGATTCGATTCGGACGCGTCGCGATTCGCCCGCTCGTGATTTACGACGGCCCGGAAGGACGCGCGACGCTTCGATGCGCCGCGTACGCGGTCCCGCTCACGGAGCTCCTCGCGCCCGCGCCGACGTCGCTCGCGGACTTCGACCGGCTGTGGAGCCTCCTCCCGGCGACCATCTCGCACGAGGTTGAGGTCCCGACGGCGGGCGCGCGCGTCGCCGCGGCGGTGAGACTGCTTCCCATACGACCCCGTTCGCGTGGTGCACGCCGTTCCTTATTAAGGACTTTTCCCGTCGCCACTCTTCACCCGCGCTTCCCTTTCAACGTTTGACCGGTAAGACGTTCGACTGACCGATCGCTTCACCCACGCAGGCGTTGGAACATTTCGCCGGCGACGCGCTCGCGGTGGCGGTCGCCGCCCTCCGCGGCGAGCGCCCGGGCGGGTCGAAGCGAGAGCGGGAACGTGAGAAGAAGCGCGCGCCGTTCGCGCGCGCGGGCGGGTACCAGCTCCGCGCGAGCGGCGCCGCGTGCGAGTGTTTCAGCGCGGTGACGTGGTCGGGGGACCACTTGCTTCTCGCCGCGTTCGTTCGAAGCGACGGCGTCGCGACGCTCGAGTACCGGAGCCGTTCCGCGGAGACGCTCGAGCCGATCGATAAGGACCCGGCCGGGTGGTTGGAGGCGTTCACGGGCGACGTGTTGAGGCCGCGGCGACGCGAGCGCGCGGGCGGCGGCGCCGGCGCGGGGTCGATCGACGACGACGACGGCGAGGCGTCGGCGTCGGACGCCGGCGGCGGCGGCGGCGGCGGCGGCGGCGGCGGAGCGACGAGGCGGCTGACCGCGGAGGAGCTCGCGTTGGGGCCGTCCGGGGACGGGACTGGGGTGAAGCTGCACGACGCGGTGTTGAGGGAGTGGAAGGCGCTCGCGGCGTGACGTGTGGGTGCGCGCGCGCGTGGTACGTGTAGTGTTGAACGTACAGTAGACTTACTAGGTTTCGCCCGGATTTGCGGAGAATCGATCGTCCCGGCCGCTGTCCGCTTCGGCCGCGTCGAGGAGGTTTATCTCAGCGCCTTCGTCACTTCCGCGCGCGCGCCATGGCACGCGTCGCGCTCGCGTCGTCGCCATGGCGGCCGCACGCGACGCCGGCGCTGATGGGCGGCATGGGGAGCAGACTCGCGAGGGTTCGACGCGCGTCGGCGCCGTGCCCGCCACCGCACGTCCGCGGGAGGCACGCTACCCCGGACAACAACTTTCTCACGTGGTGCGAGGAGAACTTTGAGCGAGGACTCCTGAAGGAGTACGTCGACCCGGACAGGGGACCGACGGAGGTGACGCGGGGGTCGCACTACAGAGCGCTGTGGAAGTGCGCGGCGTGCGGCTACGAGTGGCGGGCGATGGTGAACAACCGCACAATCCACGCCCAGGGGATGCCCGGCGTGCTCGGGCCGAGTCGCCAGCTCGACGAACAACTTCGTCGCGTGGTGCGAGAAGAACGGCGAGCTAGGGAAGAAACTCCTCGATGAGTACGTCGACCCAGACAGGAAGCCAACGGAGGCGATGCGAGCGTCGCACTACAAGGCGATATGGAAGTGTGCCACGTGCGGCCACGAGTGGCGGGCGGTGATGCACAGCCGCACGAAGAGCGACAAACCCAGGGGATGCCCGGCGTGCAACCGCGCGCGGAGGAACGCGCAAAGTCAAAGCGGTCGACGCGTCCCGCCTGCCGCGACTCGATAGATCGCATGAAAGAATCGTGAGTCTAACAAGCAAGACGTCCCACGGAGCCCACACCAGTCGACGCGTCAACCCCGAGGACCCACGCGTGCGCCGCGTCCCTCCCCGCGGCGACGGCGGGCGACTTCGTAGATTAGCTAGACCAAGTGCCCTTCTACGCAACCCGGCTCACTTCGGCGAGCAACACGCGCGTCGTGATCGACCCAAACTTCACGAGCACCTCCCTCGCGCCCTCGTCGACGTCGAGCACCTCCGCCTCCGCGCCGCCGAGCCTTCGCACGATCACGACGGACCCGACCTTCGGGGTCCATCCTCGGCCGTCGGCGCCGTCTCCCGCGTCGCCGTCGCCGTCGCCGCCGCCGTCGCGATTCTTCTCACCCGGGACGGCTTCCCCGCGCGCGTCGAACGTCCACCCTCTCGGCAACGCCTCCGACGCGAACGCCTCGAGCTCCTCGCGCGTCTCCGCGAGCGCTAACGTCGTCTCCGCGTCCCGCATCGCCTCCACGCCGCGTCGCTCCGCGGTCTCCACGCAAATCTCTTCTCGCAGACGCAAGTGCTTCGCGCCGCGGAGGAAGACGTCGTCGTGGAGCGCCTCCGCGCGCGTCAACGCCGCCGCCGCCGACGCCGCGCGCTCTTCCTGCGACGCGCGCTCGCGTTCGAGCGCGCTCGCGAGCTCGCTGACGTCGTCGACCGCGGTGACGGTGGCAGCGCCGGCGCCGTCGTCGTCGTCGCCGCGCAGCCCCGCGGCGCGTCGCTGCCGCCGCCACCGCTTCTCCGCGCGGTCCGCGACGCCGGCGTCCAACCCCAACCCGCGCGCGATCGCGAGCGCGTTGCTCTCCCCGGACGCGCCCCACAACAACCGATACGTCGGTCGCAGCGTCGCGGCGTCGAACTCGACCGCCGCGTTCGCGGCGCCGACCATCCCGCCGTCGCCGCCGTCGCCGCCCGCGAGCGCTTTGACCTCGTCGTAGTGCGACGTCGCGACGACGAGCCGGCACGCGTCCGCCGACGCGCGAAGCACGGCCGAGGCGAGCGCGGCGCCCTCCGCCGGGTCCGTCCCGCCCCCGGGCTCGTCCAGCAACACCACGGTGTATCGCTTCGCGTCGGTATCGTCCCTCGACGCGCGGAGGATGCGCTGTAATCGTCGCAAGTGCGCGCTGAACGTGGAGAGGCCGCCTTCGAGGTCGAGCGACTGCGCGTCGCCGAGATCCGCGAGGACGGTTTTCGTCCACGGCACTCTCGCGTCGGCGCCCGCGGCGCCGCGCGCGACGGGGAGGTGTAACCCCGCGCGCGCCATGAGAAGGCACAAGCCTAATAGCTTCAGCGACGCGGTCTTTCCGCCGGTGTTCGGGCCGGTGATGGCGACGAGGGAGGTGCGAGGGGGGACGACGAAGTCGATGGGGACGACGGACGAAGCCGACGACGTCGACGGCTTTTCATCCTCTTCGCCGTCGTCGTCCTCGCCCTCGCCCTCGTCGTCGTCGTCGTCGCCCTCGCCCTCGCCGTCCCATCCTTCTGTGCTCTCGCTCGCGCCGATCGTCCCGCCGCGCGGGAGCTTCGGCAGCGTGCGCTGCAGCAGCAGCGGGTGCCTCGCCCCGGGCAGCCGCACGCACCCCCCGCCGCCGCCGCCGTCGTCGTCGTCGTCGCCGTCGCCGTCGGTCCCTCCCACCACCTTCACCGGCGACGCGTCGAGCCACGCCGCGTGCTTCGCCTTCGCGCGCGTCGCGTCCACCGCGCCGAGCGCCTCCACGGCCTCCGTCAACCCCTCGCCGTCGTCCGCGCCGAGCACGAGCGCGGTGAGCGTCCGCAAGACGCGCTCAATCTCCGCGTCCTCCTTCGCGTTCAACTCCGCGATGGCGTTATTCAACGGCACCGCGCCCGCGGGCTCCTTAAACACCGTCTGCCCGCTCCCGGACGCGCCCAAGATGACCCCCTCCATCTCGCTCTGCGCGCCAGCCTTGATCGGGATGCACTCGCGGTTCAGCCGCGTGACGATCTGCGCGCGCTCCGCGAAGTTTTTCCGCGCCATGTAATCCGCCGTCTCCCGCAGCAGCTCGCGCAGCTCGCGCTCGGCGTCTCTCCGCGCGTCCCTGATGGCGCGCAGCGCGTCGGACGCGTCGTCGAGCACGTTCCCGCCCGGGACCGCGACGCATCGGCGTATCTCCGTCTCGACGTCTCGAGGCGTCGACGCGAGCGGCGACGCGAGCGAGACGAGCGGCGCGAACGCCGCCGCCGCCGCGTCGGCGTCCGAGGTTGTCGCGACGAGCGACTCGACGGAGGCCCACACGCGCGCCGCCGCGGTCATCGTCGACGCGATGTCCGCCAACGACGCGCCGCTGAGCGTCTTCCCGCTCGCGGCGCCGCGAATGAACGCGCGGACGTCCTTCGTGCCCTCGAACGCGCTCGTGGGGAGCGCGCCGGCGTCGCACGCGGCGACGCACGCGGTCGTCTCGGAGAGCCATCGCGCGGAGATCGCGGGCGACGCGCCGAGAGGGAGGAACGGCGTGCACGCGCGGAAGCCGAGCACGGTCGCGGTGAACGACCGGACCTGCGACGAGAGCTCCGGCCACTGCAGGAGCTCGCGCGCTTCCGCGTCGAGCTCCTCCGCGGTCGGCTCGCGTCGCGCCTCGTCGTCGTCGTCGTCGTCCTCGTCCTCCTCCTCCTCCGCGACCATCTCTTGGAGCGCGCGCGCGACGACGCCGCGGCGTCGCCGATGTGGCCGCGCGCGCGCGCGAGCGCCGACGCGCCCGCGCGACGAAGACGACGACGACGCGCGCGGCGTGCCATCCCGCCGCGGGGGCGCGAGCGCGGCCGCTGCCGTCGTCGCCATCTGCGCGCCGGGCTCTGCGCGACGACGTGGCTGGAAGAGGGTTTGAGGGTTGTGGTTCTTTAGGTTTCTTTCAGGTGTTTTTTCACCCATCCCTCAGTTTCAACATTTGATCGTGTCCCCTTTCAATTGACCGATGAAAATGTATGGCCAGTCGCAAAAATGCCTTGACGACGAGATTCGCTCCGCTCGCGGCGAACGTCAGTCGACGCCGCGCGCCGTCGTCGACTCGCTCGATGGGACACAAGGGCAAGAGCAAGAGGGCGCGCGAGGGGAAGAGCCGCGGCGGCGACCGCGGCGGCGGGAGCGGGAACGACGCCCCCGCGCCTCCGTCGCCCCCGCGTCCGCACAACTTCGTCCGCGACGCCGGCCCCGGATGCGTCATCGCGCACGTCCCCGAGGGCGGCGCGGGCGCGGCATCGTCGCTGCGTCCTCCGCCGTGGGCGCTCGGCGCCGAGCGCGTCCGCCTCCGGGACTACCCGCCCGGGACGACGTTCCCGGACCTCGCGGTGGACCCGGACGACGGCGTGTTGACGGTCGTGAACGCGTCGGAGTCGCACCGCGTCTTCTACGTCACCGTGTACGACGGCGCGGTCCTCGACGCGGACGGCGCGCCGTTCCCCGCCGGCGCCGCCGTCGACAACGACGGCGCGACGCGCGCGTGCGTGACGTTCATCCTGAAGATCCCTCCCATGGTCATGCTGCACGCGGCGACGCTGAGCGACCCAATGCGCTCGGAGATCGAGTCCGACGTCCAGGACTGGCGCGCGCATCCCGCGCCCGACGACGCGCATCGATCGCTGTGCGGCTTTCCTCTCGGCGCCGACCGCGCGCCGTATCTGTGCACGCAAGGCGAGGGCGGGCACCTGACGCACTTTTTCGCGGGGAACCAGCACGCGATCGACTTCCGCTGCGACGAGGGCTGCGACGTTCTAGCGGTGAGGGACGGGGTCGTGGAGGAGGTCGTTCAGGAGAACACGCTGACGGGGGTGGCGACAAGGAACCTGTACAAGTGGAACAGCGTCATGCTGCGATGCGACGACGACGACGGGAACGCCGACGCCGACCCTCTGTTCGTGGAGTACGTGCACATCAAGGCGAACAGCGCGCGCGTGAAGGTCGGCGATAGGGTGAAGAGGGGGGATAAACTCTGCGAGAGCGGCGGCGTCGGGTTCTCCCCGGAGCCGCATCTGCACTTCACTGCGTTTCGGAGTAAGGAGCCGACGGCGGCGACGACGCGGACGCTGTTCGACGGCGGCCGCGCGGGGCCGTACGTCCCGGTAGCGGGGCGGTGGTACGACGCGGGGGGGGAGGTGTGCGTCGACGGAGGAGAGGAAGAGGACGGCCGCGTGGCGACTGAGTAGCTGTAGCGAACGAAACGAAACGAACGATCGATAGAAACGGCGACGTCTTCTCTCTACGCGACCACAGCTGTGCATCCTCCGTTCTTTTCCGGGCGCGCGGGAGCCGTCGCCGCCGCCGCCGCCGCTCAGTTCTGGAGCTTGCGAAGGAGCGACGAGCCGGTCAACGCCGCGCCGAACCCGACCGCGCACGCGCTCGCGAGGACGACCTGCGCCGCGATCGACGCCGCGCCGTCGTCGGGAATTACGTACACCGCCCCCGCGCCCGCCGCGGCGAGGAGGAATCCGAGCGTGGAGATCTTTCCCGGCGCGCCGCGATCGTAGATGAGCGCCTGCCCTTTGCTCAGGAGCCCAGCCTTCTCGATCCCCGCGAGGTCGATCCCGTCCGCGATGCCGATCAGGCCGAGCTCCTCCGCGGCGGTGACCGCCTTGCCGATGAGGCGCAGGTCCGCAGCCTTCGTGAGCACCTTCGGCTTGCCCTGCTTCGCGGCCGCGCGGACGACGACCGCGGCGCGCGCGCGACGGGTGTCGGTCGCGACGCCGCTCGTCTTCGCGGCGAGCTTCGTGGAGACGAGGGAGGAGGTCATCGTGGAGGCCATCCTGTGGAGGGGATAGCGTGGTGGTGGGGGGGCGGGGAGGGAGGGGATGAGACGCGTCGGATGGGGTGGGAGGAGGAGGGCGTCGCGTCGGCGAGCGATCGATCGGCCGCGCGTCGTCGCGTTTCGAGGCGAAGTCCTTAAGGATCGGCGTCCACCTCGCCAACGCGGTCGTATGGGGACCAGTGTGAGATAGAACCCTGTTTCGGGATACGCGAGCGCGGGATCGTTATCGCGACGAATCGTCGCGCTGCCGCGTCTTCTCGCGGGCGACGGCGCGCGAGCGACGCGCGACGCGCGGACGGCGGCGGCGTCGTCCGCGAGTCGTGGAGAGGAATCGCGCGCGGGACGGACCTGACGTGTGCGCGCGTGCGAGTGTGGCGCGGCGACGCGCCGCGGACGCGACGTCTTCCTAGAGCAGCGCGAGGAAGGAGAGTCGTGCCAGCTGCCAGAATCTCCGCGGCTTCCGCTCGCGACGGCCAATCGCGTCGAGAGATGCGCGATTCAGTCTGTTTGCTCACAGCACGAATCTCGCGTACTCTACTACGACGGAAGGAGCTGAGTTGTTAAGGGGATGCGATGTCGGCGAAACGAGCACTCTCGAGCGCCGGCGCCGCGTCTCGAGCGCTCCCCGTCGCGCGCGCTCCCTCCCCCCATCCCCCGTCGCCATGGGCGGCCCGACGACGGTGTTCGTTCGGAACCTCCCGTACTCGTGCGGCGACAAGGGCCTCGAGGAGGCCTTCTCCGAGATCGGTCCGGTAAAGGAAGCGTTCATCGTCGCGGAGAAGAAGGGCGAGGGCGGGAAGAGCAAGGGGTTCGGGTTCGTGCACTTCGCGCTCGCGGAGGACGCCGCGACCGCGGTGAGCAAGTCCGGGACGTTCGTCGTGGAGGGGCGGCCGGTGACGATCGACGTCGCGAAGCAGAAGCTCGGGACGAAGAGCGAGGGATTGATCCACGGGAAGCCCATCGAAGGCGGCGGCGGCGGCGGCGGCGACGGCGACGACCGCGACGCGCGGGGGGGGCTCGGCGGCGGCGCCGCGCGCGAGGACGACGGCGACGACAGCGACAGCGACGCGCCGAAGACGACCGCCGCGGGGCGGCCGCGGGACGCGGCGCGCGCGCGGGGCGACGCGCCGGGAGGCGCGCCGCGCGCGGCGCGACCGCAGCGATCGCATCGCAAACCGTCCGAGGATGAAAAAGCGTCGCTGGAGAAGGCGGCGCGCACGGTGGCGATCGGCGGCCTCAAGCTCGCGGGCGAGCCCGACGGGATCGACCCGACCGCCGCGATCGACGCCGCGAGAGCGATCGGCGACGTCGAGGACGTCGTCTCCCCCGCGCCGGTACCAGTGGTGGCGTCCGCGAAGCTTCGAAACGACGGCTGCCGTCGCGGCGTCGCGTTGGTGACCTACGCGAGAGCCTCCGACGCTCGACGCGCGGTCGCGGAGCTTCACCGCGCGATGCCCGGGGTCGGGAAGCGCAAAGCGCAGAAGATGAAAGGCGCTCTGAAAGCGGGCGCGGGCGGCGCGGTCGACGAGGGCGTCGAGATGCTGTGGGCGCGGGCGCTCGGCGGGGAGGGCGCGAGGCCGAAGAGTTGGCGCGTCATCGTCCGAAACGTCTCCTTCAAAGCCGCGGAGGCGGAGATACGCGCCGCGATGAGCGCCGCCGGGTTCGTGTGGGAGCTGACGATCCCGAAGGACTTCCACGGTAAGCCGAAAGGGTTCGCGTTCGCGGCGTACACGCGAAAGGCGGACGCGGAGAGAGCGGTGAAGGAGGTGAACGCGACGGCGATCGCGGGGCGGCAGATCGCGGTCGACTGGGCGATGAGCAAGCACGAGTACAACGAGGCGCAGCTGAAGCAGAAAGAGGAGGAGGGGGCGGAGGAGGAGAGCGAGGAGGGGAGCGACGGCGAGGACGACGACGGGTCCGGGTCGGAGTCGGAGTCGGAGTCGGGCGACGATTCGGGATCCGAGTATGAGTCTGAGTCTGAGTCGTCGTCGGAGTCGGAGTCGGAGTCGTCGGAATCCGACGACGAAGACGAAGAGGCCCCGGAGGAGGACGCAGACCCCGACGCGATGACGCGCCGCGTTATGAACACGTTCCTGGACAGCGCCGACGCGAACGACGGCGAGAGCGACGGGAAGGTCAAGTACGCGAGCCGTAAAGAAGCGCGAAACGCGGCCAAGGCGGCGAGAATCGAAAAAGCGAAAGCCCGCGCCGCCGCGCGAGACGCGGAGAGGGAGGCGAAAGACAGGCGTCGAGACGCCGCCGCCGCGAACGATCGCGACGGCGACGGCGACGGCGACAGCGACAGCGACAGTCAGCCGCCGCCGCTCCCCGGGAAGGGCGCGAAGACGCCGCCGCCCGCGGGCGCGAGCGTGTTCGTGCGCGACCTCCCGACGGATGCCTCGAAGCAGTCGCTCTTCGAGCGGATGCAAAAGTTTGGGAAAGTCCGGTCGTGCCGCGTCGTCCTGGATAAGACCACCGGACGCTCGAAGGGCACCGCGTTCGTGGACTTCGTCGACGCCGCGTCCGCGTCGCGGGCGATAGAGGCGGCGGGGAAGGTCGAAGGCGGCGGCGTCAAGGTGGCGGGAAGACGGTTGAACATCGCGCTCGCCGTGAGCGCGACGGACGCCGCCGATTTGGCGACGGCGAAATCGAAAGCGTTCGCGACGGACGCGAAGAAACGCCGCGACGGCCCGCGCGATAACCGCAATCTGTACCTCGCGACGGAGGGACAAATACACGAGGAAGGGCCCGCCGCGCAGGGGGTCTCGCGGGAAGACATCATGAAGCGCCGCCGCGCGAAAGAGGAGCAGAAGATGAAGCTGAAAAATCCAAACTTTTTCATATCGAAAAATCGGTTGCAGGTGCGAAACGTGCCCCCGGAGGTGGACCAGAAGCAACTGAAGAAGATCTTCCACGACGCGGTGCTGCAGCGAGCGACGAAGGCGAACCCGAAGGTTCTGCACGCGAGGCTTCTGATCGACAACACGCGGCCGGACGCGAACGGGAAACCGCGAAGCCGCGGCATCGGATTCGTCGAGTTTGACGCGCACGACCACGCGCTCGCGGCGCTTCGGACGTTGAACAACAACCCGACGATCTTCACGGCGGCGAAGCGGCCGATCGTCGAGTTCGCGGTCGAGGACGCGCGAGCGGTGAAGAAGCTCGAGAGGCGGAGGGACGGTCTGAACAAGGCGCAGAGGGAGCGGAATTCGGCGGAGGGGGAGGAGGGGAAAAAGCCGGGGGGGCCCAAGGCTGACCGAACGGCGCGGCGGATACAGAAGAGGAAAGAGCGGAAGGAGGATCGGAAGACTGCGGCGGCCGCGGCGAGGGGCGACGGCGACGGCGGCGGCGGCGGCGGCGGCGGCGGCGGCGGCGGCGGCGGCGGCGGCGGCGGCGACGACGGCGAGGAGAACCCCGCGGCGGCGAAGAAGAAGAAGACGAAGAAGAAGCGGAAGGTTGAGGAACCGAAGCCGAAGCAGCCGCGACAGGAGCGAGCGGCGCAAAAGCAAAAGCAAAAGCAAAAGCCGCAGCGGAGTCGCGAGCCTCGTCGCGACCGCGACGAGGACTTGATAAACGACGCGGACCTCGGCCCGGCGCCGAAGAAGCGACGCGGCGGCGAGAGGCGCGACCGCGTGGACGACCTCGTGGACATGTACTTTGGTAAACGGTAAACGAGGGAAAGGGTTAGACTGACGAAGCCGACGACGGAGCCGGCCGCGGGCGCGAACGACGGTTCGAACGACCACTAAGAGGTAGCTATCATAAAACGTACGCGTGTAGACTATTACGACGAAAGAAAAGAATCGAGGAGAAACGAAACGCGCGACGGCGCGTCGCGAGATGTCACCGGATCCGCGACGACGACTCCGGAAACCGCGTCAACAGCCGCCGATCCCCCGCCGCGTTTTCACCGCCGTCGTCGTCCTCGTCGTCCTCGTCGCTCTCTCCTCCTCCCCCCATGCCCGGCGGCATCACCGTCGGCCCCGCGATCGCGCGCACGCTCGCGGGGAGTATGCACGGCGCGCACTGGTTCGCGACGACCGCGATCCGCGCCAGGCGGTTGATGTACCCTGGCGGCTTCCGTCCCGTGAGTTCCACGCACAGATCTTCCACGAACGAGTTGCAGTTGCGCTCGAGCAGGTGGTACGCGCAGCCGAGGTAGCTCGTCTCCCCCATGTTCTCCACCGCGCGCGCCACCTCGCTCGGACTCATCGTCGTGTGCCCGACGACGACGGTCTTCCGGAAGCGCGCCGGCGGCGGCGCCTCCCTCGGGGCCGTGTCGAAGATGCCGCTGCATCGCTGGTCGTGGCCGCCGAACGCGTACTCCCTTCCGTGCACCTCGAGACCGCTGTGGTAGACGCCCAGGCCGAGGAGGTGCGTGTACTCGTTGAATCCGTTCAGGTCGTAGATGTTTACCGCGACCGGGTGCGGCATCGCGCCCGGGCGGGGGTGGGGGGGACGGCCGCTCGCGCGCCGCGATCTGACGCGCCGCAGCCTCGTGATGACGAACAGAACTGAAGTTCCAGTTCGTCGTCTGTTTGAAGTGACAAGTGTCCGGAAAAAGAAGGGCGCGCGCGTTCACTCCGTCGTCGCGCGCGCGGGAACTCGAACGTCGCCCCCGCGACCGGGCTCGAGACGCGCTCGCTGTCCGTTCGCATCGCACGGTGAGACCCCCTCGCGCGCGTCCTCGGCGAAAGATAGACGACCGCCGCGCGGGAGGACGGGATCTCTGTCTGGGAAGAGGCGAAGAGCGCGTTTATTAGGGCGGAAACGAACGAAACAGTCGCGGACGATGACGATCCGGTTCCTCCTCCTCGTGAACAAGCAAGGTCAGACGCGCCTGGCGAACTACAACGAGAACGTCCCGCAGGAGGAGCGCAGGCAGATCGAGGGCGAGATCGTCCGCAAGTGCCTCGCGCGCTCGGACGAGCAGTGCAACATCGTCGAACACAGAAACTACAAAGTCATCTACCGCAGATACGCGTCTCTGTTCTTCATCGTCGGCGTGGACGAGCACGAGAACGAGCTCGCGATACACGAGTTCATTCACTGCGTCGTGGAGACGCTGGACAGACACTTCGGGAACGTGTGCGAGCTCGACATCATGTTTCACCTCGAGAGCGTGCACTACGTTCTCGACGAGATGATGATGAACGGGCAGATATTCGAGGTGCGTTCTTCTCACACTGGTTCCCATACGACCGCGCTGGCGTGGTGAACGCCGATCCTTAAGGACTTCGCCCGGCGTGTCTCTCCGTCGCTCTCGTCCAATCAAACATCCACGTCATCAAATAAGTAACCAATCACATCACTTCCCGCCACATCACCCACCAATCAAACGACCCTGAGACGAACCGACGCGCCGTGTTGAGTCAAGTGAAGGAGTTCGACGCGCCGCCGGCGTCGTCGTCGTGACGGGACGCGAGGCGTTCTAATAGGGTTCATGTAGAGGTAGTGCTTGTAGGTAGGGTTTCGTGTGCGTGAGACTTCGTGTACACGTACGGTAGACGACGAATCGAATCAGAGTATCTTGTCCAGACCGTCGTCGGCGGCGCCGGGGTCCAAATCGCGGAGACCTGAACCCCCGCGCCGTCAGGAGTTTCCTCCGTTCAGTCCGCCGCCGCCGCCGCGCGCTCGCCCTTTCCCTCCTAAACGAATCGCCGACGCGCACGACCCCGGGAGCGTGCGGACGACGAACCCGTTGAACGCGTGCCGCGCGTTTGATCGACCGCCGCCGCCGAGGGCGAGAAAGACGCCGCACGCGACGACGGCGAGAAGCAGCGCGGACCCGACCCCGCCGACGTTTTCGCCGCCGAGGTCTTCCACGCGCGCGGACGCGGTCGACGGCGCGGTCCTCGACGCCTTGGTCTTGGCATCGACCGGCGGGGGCGTCGCGACGGTGACGGTGACGGTTGACGTTCCACCTTCTCCTCGGGGACCGGTCGATGCCGCGTCCGCGTCCGACCTCGGTTTCGCGGCGGCGCCGTCGCCGCGATAGTACCGCGACAGAAACGCGAGCGTCTCCTCCTCGTCCCAGCTCGGGTCGTCGTCGTCGTCCTCGTCGTCGTCGCCGCCTGAACCGCCGCTCAAGAGCCCGCTCGCGACGTGACACGACGCGCAGTCCTTCGTCGTCGGCCACTGCCGCTTCGGGTGCTCGGGGTCAGACGAGCCGTCCTCCTCGCCGTTCCTCCGCGCGACGGCGAGCCGCTCGTTCACCCGGTTGTGCGCTCTCCACGACCACAGCAACGCGTCGCTCGCGCCCTGGACGCTCTCGCCGTCGTCGTCGATCATCTCTAAGAAGTGACTCCGGCACTCGTCGCACGGGAAGAAACGCGTGATCCAGCCCTCGACCGCGGCCATCCACCGCTCGCCCGCGTAGGTCGCGGCGTCGCCCGTCAGCTCGACGCCGTCGGCGTCCGCGCCGACGCGCGCCGCGAGCGCGTGCAACAGCAGCCACACCCCGCACGTGTACCCTCGCGTGCCTTCCTGGGTCCCGAGACACGTGTCCCAATGCGGTTCGTTCCCGGCCGTATCTCCGCACATGTGTCGCGAGGCCAGGTCCTCTCGCGCGGCGGCGACGTCCACGTGGCCGTCCTTCGGCCAGACGCGCGCCAACGCGTCCGCGACGTCGCTCGCGCCGTCGGCGCACTCCCGGATCGGGTGCGCGTCCGCGAGGAGCTCGACGAACGCGAGGAACTCCGCGCGCGAGTCCGCGACGAACAAGGCGGGGGACGTCATCTGCGCGTAGACTTCCGTCGTGGCCATCTCGAGGTCCGCGAAGGACACGACCTCGCCCTGCGGCGGCGCTGAAGACGATTTCGATCTCGAACTCGAACTCGAACTCGAACTCGAACTCGAACTCGAACTCGAACTCGACGGCGCCGCCGGCGGTTTCTTTTTCTCTTTCGAACCGAACATCCCGCCGAACATCCCGCCCCCGCCGCTCGCTCCCTCGCGCGTCTTCTTCTTCGCGTCCGGCTTCTGCAGCACGTGCGTCCCCGCGGCGACGCCGGTGCGCTCGCCGACGAGCTCGACGACGCGCTCCGCCGTCCTGGGCGATATTTTCAGTTCCTCCATCCCTTCGCCGGCGGCGTCGTCGTCGTGACTGGTCCCCATACGACCGCGTTCGCGTGGTGAACGCCGTTCCTTAAGGACTTCGTCGTCGTCGTCGTCGTCGTCGTTCTCGTCGGCGTCGTCGCCCTCGCCGCCGCCGTCGCCCTCGCCCTCCTTCCCTCCCCCCGTCCTCTTCTCCCCTCCTTTTCCTTTTCCTTTACCCTTCCCGTCCGCGCGGCGTCGGTTCTTGAGCGCGTCGACGGTCCCGAAGAGCACCGTGGGGTACCCTCTGACGTCGAAGTCGTCGCACAGGTGCCCGTTCTTCTGACAGTCCACGCTGAACACCGTCACCGTCGGCTCCGGGCGCTTCTTCTTCTTCTTCCCCGTCGCCTTCGCGTCGCCGTTGAAGAACGCCGCGACGCGGTCGTAGGACGGCCGGAAGTTCTGGCACGCCGGGCACCAGGGCATGTACAGCTCCACGAGCGCGTGCGTGCGCGGATCGATCGTCGCCAGCGCGGCTTCGAATCCGTCCGCCTCGAGGTGGATCGCGCTCGGGGCGGCCGCGGACGGTCCGCGCGCGACCGCGGGCGACGCCGCGCACACGAGCGCGAGGAGGAGGACGAGGTGAATGTGGAGAGGCGCGCGAACCCGACCCATGGCGGGCGTCGGGCGAGACGACGCGCGAGACGACGCGTCGAACACTGGACGGACGGGCGGGATCTGGAACGGCGGCACGCGGAGGCGACAACTGGTAAACTGGAGGCTTCTTATTTTATGCGCGCTTCATCGATAAGTTGAAAGGGGATGCGATCAAACATTGAAACTACGGGTGGGTGAAAAACGTGCGGCCGCGCTGGGCTGCGCGCTGCGTTTCACGCGTTTGCAGGACTCCTCGTCTCCTCAGTCGGAGAGGCGGCGTGGCGGGCGGCCGCGCGCCATGAGCGACGGAGAGCCCGCGCGCGCGACCGCGGCGGCGCCGAGGCCGACGACGACGCTCGACGACGGGACCGTCACGAAGCGCCGCGTGAAGCAGACCGCGCGGAAGTCGTCGTTCACCGCGGCGTCGACGACGACGACCACGACCATCGGAGCCATCCTCGACCACGACCGTCGATCCTTCCATCGCATCTCCGCGTCCGCGCCCGCCGCCTCGGCGTCGTCGCCCGCGCCCGCGCAATCGCGCGACGGCGGCGCGACCGCGGCGACGTCCGACCGCGGCGCGTCCTCGTCCTCGTCGCTCCCGCCGACGCACGCGGCGGATCGCGTCGCGAAGTCGGCGCAGCTCGAAAAGTTTCGGACGATCGAGGCGCGGGTGAAGCGCGAGGGCACGGCGAAGCCGGACATGGTCGCGTACTCGCGCGTGAGCCAGGGTTACCCCCCCGCGTGCAAGCCACGATGGGGGCACGTCCCCGGGTGCGACGTCGGCGAGATTTTCGTCGGCCGAGGCGAGGTCGCGGCCGTGGGGCTGCACATCCGAATGATGCAGGGGATCGACTTCAACGCGGATTCCGTGCGAGAAGGCGGCGGCGCGTACGCGATATGCCTCGCCGGCGGGTACAAAGACGACGACGATAAGGGGCTAGACATATGGTACACCGGTCAGGGCGGGCAGGATAAGCGCAAGCAGGTCAAGAGCCAGGTTTTAACGAAGGGCAACCTGGCGTTGGCGCGGAATAAAGAGAGCGGCAAGCCGGTGCGCGTGATCCGAAAGGGCGCGGTGACGCCCGGGCGGGTGGAGTACATCTACGAGGGCGAGTACGCCGTCGCGGAGTACAAGTTCGTGGAGAGCGAGGACGGGCCTTTCATATACAAGTTTTTGCTGCGAGCGATCCCGGGGAGGAGCAAGGCGCCCGCGCCGCCGACGGAGTTCCTGGGGAATTTTATCCGATACGCCGGCGACTTCACGACGGGGACGCGAGGGCGGCGGAATCGAACGCTGGACGATCGGGGACGGCGGTTGGACGGCGGGAAGAGGGCGTGGACCGCGCTGGTGCGACGCACGAACGAGGAGCTGCGCGTGTCCGAGATGGAGCGGAGGGCGGTGTGCGCGTCGCAGTGGAAGAAAGACGCGGGCGCGGGGGAAGCGCCGGGAGAAGTTAGTAAGGGCACGCTCGTGATGATGGACGTCGCCGCGACCCCCGCACTGGTCCCCATACGACGGCGTTCGCGTGGTGAACGCCGATCCTTAAGGACTTTGCCCGGCGCTTCTCTCAGCGCGTGATCGTCCCCGCGTTCAACGAGGTGGACGACGCGACGGACGTCGTGCCGGAGGGATTTCGGTACGTGAGGAACTGCAGCGAGAAAATCTCCGCGGAGGCGGCGGCGGCGCTGGCGTCGACGACGAATCCGCCGGAGCCGCCGCGGCCCGAGGCGACGGCGACGACGCGCGCGTACAACGAGGAGTTTTGCCTGTGCGAGAGCTCTCCGGACGGCGTCGTGGAGCCGCCGCCGACCGCGGACGAGGCGACGAAGTCGGCGGACCCGAAGTCGCGGTTTCTCGGCGAGTCGATCGGCGCGTGCGTTCGACTCGGTCTGTGGCTCCCGCTCGAGGTGTTCCGAACCACGGACAAAGATGGGGGTTGCGGTGTCGCGCGGAGATTTCCTCCGGCGCGTTCGTGTGCGAATACGCGGGGGAGGTGCTCACGGAATCCGAAGCCGCCGCGCGGTGCGTGAACAGCGGCGACGACGACTACATCTTCTCTCTCGACCACTTCGACGTCGCGTACCAGAAGCCGAAGGACGAAGACCTCAACTTAGGCGTCGACGCGCGCGTGACCGGCGGCGTCGCGAGGTTTATCAACCACCACTCGGAGCCGAATCTCATCATCCAGAGCGTGTTCACTCCCGGCGCGGAAGGGTGCAGAGCGAACAACCAGCGGTTGTACCGCATTTGTTTGTTCGCGGGGCGAGACATCGGCGCGATGGAGGAGCTGACGTACGACTACGGCGAGGACACGTACTGGAAGCACATCAGCAAGGACGTCGACGTCGTCGACGGCGCCGGCGTGAAGAGGACGAGAACCGACGACGACGACGACGACGACGCGGCGCCGCTGCCGCCGTCGCGGCCGCCGTTTTCGCCGTCGCCGGAGATGACGAGCTCGATAGTCGAGATGGGGTTCTCGCGAGCGCAAGCGAGGGTGGCGTTAGTCGCGATCGGAGGGCAGAGCATCGAGCTCGCGATGGAGTGGCTGCTCACGCACCCGGAGGAGGCTGCGGAGGCGGACGCGAACGCCGACGCCGACGCGACGATAGAATGAATTCTTCGCGTGACTACGCAGCGCGCGACACGTACACGTACGACTTGTAACGAACGAAAAAAACCAATTCGCATGCTTCACTCGCACTCGGTGCGATCGACTACTGTAAACTAAGGCCTACTGCCGTGTTACTACCGTACTTCCTCACTGTTTCGGGTTCGGAAAGTCCAGCGACTTTGGCAGCGCGCCGCTAAACCTCGCGAGGATAAACATCGCGACGCCGAGCAAAGTGAACGGCCACCACGTCGGGTTGAACCCCTCCGCGAAAAACAGCGCGACGTCGCCCTTCACGTCGTCGCCGTCTTCGCTTTTACTTCGTCTCAGCTCCCGCGTTGCGTGGACCATCCCGGCGATGAGCCCCCCCGATAATATCGGCGCCGCGGCGCGCGCGACGTTCGTAAACGCCCCGCTGAATCCGTTCACCGCGCCGAGTTTGCCTCTGGGGGACGAGTTATTCAAGATCAAACTCACGCCGCCCATCACGACCGGGCCCATGCACCCGCGACACATCGCGAACACCACGATGAGCGTCCACGTCAGCGCTCGCGAGGATCTGATCGCGTACGCGGCGAGCGGGTGCGCGAGGTAGACGACGCCGTTGAGGAACAGCGCCCAGGTCACGCTTCGCGTGGCGCCGTATCTGTCCGACAAATACGAAAACAGAAACGCGGAGAAGAGCAATATGGAGACGCCCATGACGCTGCCGAAGATACCGATGTCGATCGCGCTGAACCCCAAGCCGCCGTTCTCGCGTCTCGTCGCCATCCAGATCGGCGTGAGCTCCGCGCCGGTGAGGATCGCGAACGTGCACGCGACTTGATTGATCACCGCGAGTTTGATCGTGCGATCCTCGTGCCACGGCGTCGCCTCCGCGTCGGTTGACGTTTCATCTTCTTCGGTTTCCGTGTCCGCGTCATCGTCCGGTCCGTCGCCGCCGCGGAGAAGTGCGCTCGTCTCGGCCTCGGCGCGGTCGTCCTCGGTCTCCGCGACGACCGTCGCCGGCGCGTCCGCGGCGTCCGCGTTGGCCAGTTCCCCGTCCATTCTCACCACCGCGACGGAGCTCTCGCTCGCGGACGATCGCGGGCTATCGCACGCGCCGACGTCCGGCAGCAACCCCTCGCCGTCTTCCTTCTCCGGCGTGCCCCGCTGCTTCCGAGGACGCGCGCTCGTCGCCGCCGCGGACATCTCAACCTCCGCGCCCTCGCCCTTTCCGCCGCCGCCACCGCCGCCGCCGCGTTCGACGTCGACGCCAATCTCTCCCTCCCCATCTCCGCCCTCGTCGTCTATCCTATCGTACCCCCCGCGCGCCGCGCCGTCTTTACGCGCGCTCTCCCCGGGGACGCGCAAGTACGCGAACGCGAACGTCCAGAGCATCGCCCCCGCGACGAGCACCCACGCGCTCGACAAAAAAAACGGGTAGTCGCGAAAGTACGGCGTCGGGCACTCGTCCTCGTCGAACAGCCCCGCGTCGGTGTCGGTCGACGTTCCATCTTCCACGACACCGCTACCGCCGCCGCACGGGTACGCGAGCAACGCGCTCAGCGTCGGCGCGATCGTGCTTCCCAGGCCGTAGGTTATCCCGAACGTGCTGAAGGCGCGCGCGGCGTTGGTCCGGTCGCTGAGGGTCGTTCCATACGAGCGATTGTCGGGGTGGAGTTCAAAGGCGTCAGGTGGAGTTGAAAGGCGTCGAGGGCGGGCGTTGAAAGCGCGGGGTGGGCGGAGAGATGCGACGGCAAAAGTCCTTAAGGAACGGCGTTCACCACGCGGACGGGGTCGTATGGGGACCAGTGTATAGAACGCACCTGATCTTCGCCATGCAGCTCCGAGAGTTTGTCATGACGCCGTCGAACAGCCCGGACGCGGCGCGGACGACGACCGCCCACGCGAAGGAGCGCACGCACCCTAACGCCGCGGTGAGGAGCATCGTCGCGAACGCGCTCAGGAGCATCGTCGCGCGGAATCCAGCCTTATCGCCGGCGATGCCCCACGGATACGACGAGATGGCGGAGAACGCCGGTTTCGCGGCGATGACGACGCCCGCGCGAAGCGACGCGTCCGCGTCGTCTCTCGCGCCCCAGAACTTGCACATGAACACCGCGGTGGAGAATATGTACGTCGTGCTGAGTATGGACACCATGGACAGCGCTTGCACGCCGAAGACGCAGTACCAGTCCAGCGGCGTCGCGGTCGAGCTTCGCGCGCTCTTCCCGACGAGATTTTTAACGGAGCCGACGCGCCGCACGACGCCGCCGACGCCGCGCGCGAAGCCCCGCCACGACTCGCTCCGTCGCATGTGCGACAGCGACTTCACGAGGGAGAGGTCCATGGCGGGCGAGCGTCGACGGGACGGACGACGACGCTCGGTGATGCCGACTGCGCGGCGGAGGAATGCGAAGTTGCGGGGGCGTCGTCGACGTGGAGTCGCGTTTGTGGTGGTCGTCGCGCGGCGCTGAGGTGCGTTCTATACAAACGTTTTTCACCCATCGCCCGGTTTCAACACTTGATCGCGTATCCTTTCAACTGACCGATGAACTATTTTTGTATGGAATGGCCCTGAGGCTGATGTGCTACAGTATGTAGTACAGTATGTGTCATAAAAACGTTCGTCGCCCCGCTCCCGCCGCCGCCGCGTCGTCGTCAGTCCTCGTGATCCGTCGCGCGCCGCTTCGCCTTCTCCGCCGCCCGCCGCGCTAACCACCGCTCGTGCGGCCGTCTCCCGGGCTCGCTCACCGCCGGGAACTCGCGCATGCGTCGACGCAGCCACGCCGCGTCGACGCGTTCGGCGGTCGAAGTCGCCTCCGCCGCCGCCTCCGCCTCCGCCTCTGTGTCGTCGTCGCCGCCGCCGCCGCCGCCGTCGCCGTCGCCGTCGTCGTCGTCGCCCGCGTAGGTCCACTCCACCAGAGAATAACTCCCGTCGTTCGTGCCGCTGACTTCCCTCCCTAACGTCTCGCGGCACAGCGGGCACTCGCGCGACATGGACAGCCACCGGAGGTGACACGCCTCGCAAAACGCGTGCGCGCATTTGGTCACGATCTCCACCTCTCCGTCCATGCAGATCGAACACAGCCGCGCGTCGTCGTCGTCGTCGTCGTCGTTCTCCCCTCCCGCGATGCGCACCCGTCGCGGCGGCCGCGTCGTCGTCGCGAACGACGACGACGCCAACGCGTCGACCGCGATCTGCGCGAGCGCCGGCCGGAGCATCGTGTAGAACTGCGCGAGCGTCATCCTACGGCACGCGCCCACGTGCTCGAACCCGTCGTCGTCGTCGGCGGCGGCGGCGGCTTCGTCGGCCACCTCGATCTCGCCGTCGTCGCCTCCCCGCGCCGCCGCCGCCGGCGCTGCGTCGTCTTCTTCTTCTTCTTCCGCCGCCGCTCCCCGCGCCGCCGCCGCCGCGCCGCGCGACGACGCCGGCACTTCCTCCACGTCCACGGACACGCTTCCGACCACGCTCGCGAGCTTCGGCCCGACGCGCAGCGCGCGGAAAAACGCCCTCTGTCCCGCGTGCGAGTTGTACACCAGATCGCACCTGTACCGCCATCCCGCGCGCGGCAGCTCCGGGAGCGTCTCCGCGTCCGCGAGCGATCGGTTCGCGTCCGCGATGTCCGCGAGCGCGGTCGCGAGGTTTAGCTTCGGACCGCCGCGCGGGGGTTGGAACTTTCGAAGGCACGCGTTGATGGCGCCGCGCTCGCGGACGAAAAACTCGATCGCGGACCTGAAGAGCACTCGCGCGACGATGTACCCGATGTAGATCCCCACGACCGGGATCGGCATGAGGCTCGCGATGAAGACGCGATGAAGACGCGGGGGGAGATGGGACGCGCGCGGGGAGGGTCTGGCGCCCTTCTTCGGCGCGGCGCGGCGCCTCGAAAAATGACGATGTCAACAACCACAGCAGACTTCCTCTCCGCGTTCGAGCGCCAAGCTGGCGAGATGACTCATCATTATACCGGCGTCATCCATCATGCCGGCGGGCACTCGTCGCGCGCCGACGTCCCGTCATGTCCTCCGCCGTCGCGCGCCTCGCCGCGCCGGTCCACCCGCGCGCGACGCCGACGACGACGACGACGACGACGACGACGACACCGAGACGACCCCGTCGCCGTCCCGATCGTGGCGAACGCTCCCGGTCGTGCACGTCCTCGTCTTCAACCCGGAGACGCCGGACGAGGCGATATACACCACCTCGCGGCGCACCGCGGACGTCGCGCGGAACGACTTCCTCGTGTTCGAATCCCTGCGCGACGCGACGCGCGCGTCCGTGGCGATCAGCGACACGACCCCGGACGGTTCGATGCCCGTCGTCGACGCCGTGGACCCTCGCGTCGTGGCGTACATGGCGTCCACCTGCGGCTACGGCGTCGAGTGCGTCGCGGAGGGGGGCGACTTTACGCCCCCGGAGGTCGTCGTCGACGAGACCGTCGGCGGCGAGGGCGACGAGGACGACGACGACGACGACGACGACGTGCTGCTGGCAATCTCCACGGTGGATCTCGCGCGGTACCTCAGCGACGGCGGCGACCTTCCCGCGCCCGACGACGACGACGCCGCCGACGAAGCCGCCGCCGAAGCCGCGGAGAAGGAGAAGGAGCTCAGGGCGGCGCGCAGACGCGCGGCGCGGACGATGCGAAAAGCGCTGCGGTCGCCGACGAGCAAAGTCAGTGCGCTGGTGCGAGCGGCGGCGGCGGCGCCGACGAAGGCGCTGCTCACGCCGACGCGAAGGTAAGCGAGACTGGTTTCCATACAGTACTGTACGACGCCACGCGCGTCGTCGCGCGTCGTTTCTTATTAAGACTAATAAAGACTTTTTGTTCTTCAGGGTGCTGCGCGCGATGAAGACCGCGGCGACGGTGGAAAACGACGACGGCGAGATGGACGCGAGTTGGGGGGAGGAGAAGCGGATGCCTGCGGCTGCCAACGTGGTGTACCGAGCGCTCATCGTCGTCGCGGAGAGGCGCTTGCGAGGCGACGGCGGAGGCGACGGCGGCGGCGGCGGCGGCGACGGCGCGTGACCTTCGGTCTCGTAATAAAACACTAGAGAGACTAATAACTCACTCGCATGACGTACTGTGCGCGCTCGCGAATACCTCGCCCCGCGCGACGAATCGAATCGAATCTACGGCGACTTGGGCGAGGAGGGCGTCGTCGGACTCCCCGCGGGACTCCCGACCGGGCTCACCGCGATCGTCGACGACGCCTCGTCGCCGTCGCTCCATCCGAAATCGAAGTCGTGCTCGCTACACGTATCGTCGCCGGCGCCCGCGGTGCTGGTGGGAGACCGCGGCGCCTTCGACCTATTCTTCGCCGTCTTCGCGCGAGGGACTAGGTACTTCTCCCCCGGGGCTTTCGCACGTTTCTTTTCGTCTGAGACGGAGGCGGATGGCGACGCGACCTCGGGATCGGGTTCGACCTCGGTGACATCGACGTCGCCGCCGCCCGGCCCCGGCCCCGGCCCCGGCCCTGGCCCCGGCGCGGCGACGTCGTCTCCCTTCGGCGTCGGGACGATATCCTCCGAGAGCCGCGCCGCCGTCTCGCTCGTCGAGGTGTCCCCGCGTCGCGCGTTTCTTCTCCGCGTCGCGTCCACGGGCTGGAACCGAAACTGCGCGTGCACGTACCCGGTATCCACGCCCTTGAGCTGCAACCGCTCGTAGCTCCAGTGCCCCATGTTCGCGAGCGCGCGCGCGACGATGTGCCTCAGAGGAACGTCCGCCTTGCCCATGAACTCCTTCCCGTACATATCTTTGTCCCAACACGTGAACACGATGTCCACGCCCGGATGCGTCAAGTCCGACGGAGAGACGACGAATTCGCCGCCGTCGTTGTACACCGGATTCACCGTGTTCGCCATGACTTTGCTCTTCCAGGTCTGCGTCTTGAGCTTTATCTTGAAGTACGGGTCGGAACTGCCGACGCCGTCGCAGTTCTTGAGGTCCTCGCCTTTGATGAGCTCGAAGTAGAGGAGGCCGTTCAGGAACGGTTTGACCACGGAGAGGTTCCGTTCGTACCGCTCCCGAGTGCTCTCGTTGCCGTTCCGAGGGTCCCCTTCGAGCACGGTCGACAAGAGCTGCTCGACGGCGATCAAGATCGGTCGCTTCAAGCGTCCCTGCGGCGTGAGCGCGTGTTCCGCGGTTTTTTCTGGATCCATGTAATCGATCCGGTTCTCCGCCATCTCCGCGCGATATTTCTCTTTCGTGATTTTCTGGATCATCGGCACCTTCGGGTCCGACACCCCAGCTTCCGCGCGCTTCATCTGCAGAAACTTCCTCGCCTCTAATCCCGCTCGCGCGAGCGCCTTCTGCATCGTCTCGAGGTCCTTCGCGAGCGGATACAGCCGGAATTTCACAGTCAGCGTCCCCGCTTTCTTCCGAACCGTGCTCTTCTTTTTGGACAACACGCGGAATATCGACGACGCGTCCTTCGTGAGCGTCAACTCGCGCGTCGTCTCCTCGAACGGCACGAGATCCGACAGATCCGCGATCTCCGCGGTGCCCATGATGGTGTGAAACAGCGCCCCAGACTCGATGTTCTGCTCGCGCGGCTTTTTCGTGTCCTTTTTGTCGAGCTTCGAGCCGCTGCGAGTCGCGACGCGTTTCCCGTTGCTCAGCGTGCGATACAATTTCTTCTTCCTTCGCCCGGGCATCCGCCACCCGCAGCAACACCGCTTCGTTTTCATGACGCACCGCTCCATCTTCCGCATCTCGATGTCATCCGCGAGCGCGCTGTAATCCGAGATGACCAACGACAGGACGTCCTCCTCCGGGTCGTCTACGATGATCCGATACGTCTCGTTCCACGCCGGATTCAACTCGTCCACGACGACGGAGCTCTTCGCCGGCGCGCGGCGACCGTTCGCGACGCCAACCGTCACGTACGGATCGCTCGTCCCGAGCTTGCTCGCGTTCTTGAGCTTCTTCGCGCGCACGAGGGTTATCTCCAGGACCGCCGCGGCGCCGTCGTTCATGAGGCCGCCGCCGGACTCGCCTAGCGCGTCTGCTTTTTTCGCGATCGGCACTCGAATCGACTGCGGCCACACCATGACCCGCGTGAGCGCGTTGCCGATGACGTTCGTGATCGCGTCGCTGAAGCCGGGGATCATGTCTATGTTCCCGCCGACGAGAGACAGCGCGAATCGAATGTCCGGCTTCTCCACGAAAGATATCCCGAGCAGATGGAACGTCGGCATGCGATCGTCAAAGTCGGAGAGCTGCAGCCGCAGCGTCCCGGCGACCTGCAACAAGCGAACGTCGGGGTGGAGTTGAAAGGCGTCAGACGGAGTTGAAAGGCGCCGAGGGCGGGTATTGAAAGCGAGGGACCCTGGGCGGAGAGATGCGCCGGCAAAAGTCCTTAAGGATCGGCGTTCACCACGCCAACGCGGTCGTATGGGAACCAGTGTATAGAACGCACCTGCAACTCCGACAGCCGCACGGTGAGCGGCAGCCCGCGATACCCGACCGCGAGCACGACCGTGGGGTTCCCGGTCCACCGAACGTCCAAATCCAGAACCACCGAGGAGCCGTCCGTGTTCGCGCTCTTGTTGCGATTCGCGACGTTGTTCACGCTGAGCAAGTTCAGCGACTCGGACCCGAGCTGGAACTCTTTGATTCGCAGCGACATCCCCAGCGGCGAGACGCGCGAGAGGCGACGCGAGAGGACGTTCCCGATCGTCTTCGACAGCGCCGCGGAGAGCCGCGGCCACAGCGTCTTGATCGCGCTGTTCAGCCACACCGTCGTCTCGAAGTTTGGGCGCTTGCACCACTGCGGGACGTCCGCCATGAGCGCGCGCAGGCCGCCCATGGCGACGAGGGAGTCGGAGGCGTGGTGGTCGAGCAGCTCGGGCGACAGCATCCGGCGCGCGACGAGCGCCTTCTTCTTCGCTTTGGCGCTCTCGACCCTCTTCCCGAGGGCGAAGCCTAAGGACAGGAACGTCGCCTTCTTGATGATGCCTCCGAGGAACTGCGGGCGGCGAGCGTGGAGGGAGGGGGGAGGGGGGGAGGGAGGGAGGGGTCGGCGGACGACGTGTCGCGGGGACGGAGGGTCGATCGCGACGTGCTTTGGCGCGCGAAATATCCCGGTGGGGACGACCAGATTCCGTCGGGGACGGTCCCGGGGACGGACGGCTTCGGGATATCGCGCGGGAACGCACCCCCGGGAGCGCGCCGACGATCCCCGAGGGGATCGCCAGGGACAACACCGGCGACAGCAGCGCATTCGCCATCGCCGCGGCGCGGACGCCCCGCCCTGGGGTTCTGCGCGCCTCCGCGGACGACCGCCGGTCTCGACCGATCGTATCGAGCCAGTTGTCGCGCGGGTTCACGGTCGGAAGACCCGCGAGCCTGGGATTCACCGATCTTCCAACCGCCGACCGAGCTTGGCGGGTCAGTGAGTGCCGACTGTAGACTGCGCTGCCGACCGTTTCCTGTCTCGCGTTTCATCATTGACAGCCGCGCCGATGACGACGACGCGCGCGCTCGCGCCGCTGATGACGCCCAAGCCGCTGCGAATCGAACCCGCGGACGAGATCGAGTCCCCGTGCGGGCCGCTGTCGCTGGACGGCAGCGCCGCGGAGTCGCCCTCGGACAGCGGCGGCGGCGCGTCGTTCGGCGACGTCTCGACCATCGCGGACGCGTCCCCGTCCGACGCGAGCAACGGATTAAATGTCGCGGCGGGCGCGTCGAGCGACGGCGACGGCGACGGCGACGATGAGGAGGAGGAGGTCGAGAGCGAGCGACGGGGGGCGGGCGCGAAGACGGCGATATCCTTCGGCGCGACGGCGGTGGACGCGAAGACGTGGCCGTTCCCGCCGGCGACGCCGCCGCCCGGGACGCGCTCGCCGAGGAGCGGGAAGCGATGCCGACCGCGATGGATTCCGTCGCCGCCGACGACGCCGCCGACGACGACGGCGACGGGCGGGGTGCGCGGATACCCGGGGCGACCACGACGGCGGACGCGCGCGTCGACGATGAACGTGAACGCGCGGTGCGGCGGCGCGTTCGCGTCGTAGTGTTAGCGCAGTAGCCTCTAGCTAGCTAGAAGTCGGCCTATCCGCGTCCGTCTCGTCGTTCGTCTACTCTGCATCCATGTCCTCCTCCTCCTCCTCCCCCTCCTCGTCGTCGTCGTCGTCGCTCCCGTACTCGTACCCGTCGAGAAGAAGGTGGTCCATCTGCGAGAGGTACGCGATGCCGTCCCCAGCGGGTCCGCACGCGCGTCTCCACGCCCGCACTTTCTCCCGCAGACGCCTCGCCGGCGGCTGCGGGAGCGACCTCGCGACCATCCCGAGCGGCGCGAGCTGCGCGAGCTCCCTGCCGCTCACGACGCCGATGATCGTGGCGTCGATCGCGGCGTCGTCGTTTGAAGCGACTAGGGCGGTCGCGGTCGCGGTCGCGGTCGCGGTCGCGGTCGCGGTCGCGTCGCCCGGGTTCGTCGTCGTCTCGGGTTCGTCCTCGTCGTTCGTTTCCTTAAGGGCTCCGCCTCGACGGTCGAGCGGACGAAACGCGTCGTCTTCGAGCGCGGCCACGACCCCTGGCTCGTCGATCCCGACCCACCTCCCGGTGACCGGGCACCTGAGCTCCGACGGCGCGTACTCCGCCTTGTACCGCATCTTCGGACACGTGTGGATGTAGTACCCCATGTAATACCACCGCAGCGTCGGGCACTCCGCGCGCAGCGACCGCGTCCACGCGATCTCGCGCAAGACGCCGAGCTGGAAGAGAGGAGTGACGACGTGATCGGTTAGTTCTCGCGTAATTATGTATTTTGGGGTGACGTGGCAGAACGTGAGGTCGAAAGCAAGCATCGATCGAGTTCTCGAGCGTCGCGTCGCGTCGCGTCGCGCACCTTCCCGAGCGACAGAAACGCGTACTCCGGATCCCAAAAGAAGTACTTGGACGACACGCTCAGCGGCAAAACGTCCACGACGCCGACGGCGACGAGCTTCCCGTCGATCCTATACTGCTGATGGAACGCCCCGAACCCGCACGACGGCGCGGTGGCGACGAACTCGCCGCCGACGGACGCTTTCGTCTGGATCGGTTGGACGTGGTTCAGGCCCTGGACGTCTCGCGCGCTCGAAGCGGAAACTCCCGCGTCGCGCTTTCCCTCGTGATACTTCTTCTCCGCGTCCTTCTTCTCAGAGTCGACGCGGAGCCAACCGACCGCGGCGTCGCGCGTCGTCGCGACGCCCTCGCCCGCCTCCGCGCGCGTCAGCGGCGAGTCCACCAAGAACCGCGCGTACCCGTGCTTCGATAACGAGCTCGGGTCGTCCCCGTGCACCGCGGTCTGGTATCGCACGTACAGATCGAACTCCTCTCGGACGAAGGTCGACGGCGCCGTCGAGATCGTCAGCGTCTTTTTCTTTTCCGACTTTTTCGGTGCGTCCGACGCTCCCGACCCGGCGGCACGTGTTTCTCCGACACCACCACCACCACCCGCCGCCGCCGCCGCCGCCGCCGCCTTGAAGTTCAAGAACCCCCCTCCACCCCCACCCCGCACGAGCTCCACGCCCGCGCGCGCGAGCTCCGCGTCGGCGCCCAAGACGTCCCGCAACGCCGCCGCCGCCGCCTCCGCGGCGACGGCGTCGCCGCGGCGAAGGACAAGCGCGACGCCGCACTGATGCGTCGCGCCCGCGCGCGTCGCCGCCTTCGCGGTCGCCCTGCGCGCTTTCACGGACGGCGGCGGGGCGGTCGGGTCCGTGATAAGTCCCGGGGTCGAACCCGCGGCGGTCAGCGCGCGTCGAACCGCTGCTTCGATCGCCGTCGCCGCCGCGTCGCCGGCGGGGGCGTCGGCGCTTTTTCCTCCGCCGCGGCGGGCGGCGTCGGCGTCGGCGTCGGCGGCGTCCTTCCCGCCGCCGCCGCACAGATACGCCTCGAGCTTCCTCTCGACTCTCTTCTGGCCGCGGGTGGGCGCGAACTTCTCCGTCTCCAGACGGATCGTGTACGCGCGGCAGCACGTCTCCTTCAGCTCGGGTCGGTACAGCCACCCCCCCGATCGGCGCCAGCCGTGATCGATGAGCGACTGGTAGTCGCCGACGCTCAGGACGTGCGCGCTGACGCCGTGCGATCTCGACGTCTTCGCGACGCTGGAGCAGTACCCGCACGTGGAGGAGTACGCGCCGTGGTCGTCGATGAACGACGACGGGCGTCGCGGTTCGCTCGACCCGGAAGGAGCGGGAGGAGGCGCGGTGGGCGGCGACGACATCTTCGCGAGTGCCGTGATTTCAGATCCGACGTCCCTCGCGCGCGGCGCGCCTCGCTCGGCGGGATCAAGGCGCGACCCCGCGGCGTGGCATCGGCGTGGCGGTCTGTTCTCGCTCCTCCTCCTCGCGCGCCGCGCGATGAACCGCGGTCGTGAACCCTCGAGCCCGGCGACGCGTGGCGCGCGCGAGGGTTCAGTGCGGTGACTGGTCGCGACGGATCTGACGTCAGGTCAAGACGACGCGACGCGACGCTGACTCGTCGCTCTCGAAGCAGACGCACTCGTCGAACGAATCGGTCGCAGAGCGCGGCGCGCCGCCCCGCCGCCGCGATGGCGACGGTCGACGCGAAGCCCGGAACGCGCCGCGTCGTCGTCGACGACGACGGCCTCGTCCCCGTGGTGCGCGCGCCGCTGCGAGCGGTCGCCTCTCGATCGCGACGCGCTCTAAATCCCGACGCGTCTTATCGTAACAACAGAATCTCGCCCGCCCGAAAGGGCACGCCAACTCGCGTCGGCTCACGCGTCGTCCGTCCTTCGTCCCCACCGCCACCGCGTCGCAGGCTCGCGTGCCGCCGTATCGCAAGAAGCTCGTGGACCCGCGCCTGCGTCTCGCGCGCGCGGAGCGCGAGACGAGGGCGCCGCCGCACTCGCCGTCGCCGAAACGCCGGATGCGCGAGGCTGAGATGACGCGCGCGGGAATGTCCGAGAAAAAGATTCGCGCGCGTTTCGCGCGCGCGGACGCCGCCGCCGACGCCGCCGCGGCGACGAGGAAACGATCGGACAAAGACGTCCTCGCGTCGTTCGCGAAGAGCAAAGTCTTCGAGAACCTCGCGGCGGCGACGTCCGCGCCGGTGGCGTACGCCGCGAGGGTCAAGGAAGCGGCGAAAGCGAAGGCGTTCGGCCCGCGGCGACGCCGCGGCGCCGCCGCCGCCGCCGACGCCGCCGCCGGAGAAGAAACCGCGGAAGCGCGCGCGCGGCGTCGAGTCGACGCCCTCCACGCGGCGGCGTCGGAGGCGTCGGATTCGAAACCGGGTAAAACGAGGGCGAAAGGGATCTTGAACCGATGGCGCGTCGGGTCGACGACGACGTACTTTGCCGCGTGGCGAAGAGTCACGATCGCGTCGCGAGCGTTCGCCGCCGCCCGCGCGCGCGTCGTGCCGTACGTCAGGGCGCTGTCCAAACGCCCCGCGCAGCGAACCGCGGCGGATCTCCAGATGCTGTACGGGTTTTTAGTCGAGAAAGACGCGCGGTTTCGGCGCATGCCGCGGTACGAAGCGATCGAGGTGTGTCGGAAGATGCGCGCGGAGGAATACGACGCGGGGGAGACGATCGCGTCGGCGGGGGAGGACGACGGGAAAGTGTACGTGTGCGTCTACGGCGCCGCATCGGAGTGGGCGCCACAGCCGGAACCCGAGCCGGGGCTCAGTGGGCGCGCGCGCGCGGCGTCGAACGCCGAGGCGTGTGCTGATGCTGACGTGGCGTCCGGTGGACCGGTGGACGAGGACGAATCAGAAGAAGAAGCGGACGACGAGAATCCGTCGTCGCCGCCGCCGGCGCCGCCGGCGCCGCTGCGGACCATCGTCTGCGGGCAATCGTTCGGCGTGCCGCCGTCTGAGGGGTCCTTCACGCGGACGACGACCGTGCGCGCGGACGAGCACTCGTGGTTCATGACGTTGAACAAGACGGACGCGCTCGGAACGGAGTGGGAGGCGAGAGACACCGCGACGCGGAAGCGCGTCGACTACCTCTGCCGCCTCCCGTGCTTCGAGGCGGCGACGCTCGACGAACTCCACGCCGTCGCGGAGCACCTCACCGAGCATCGGTTCGAGCCCGGGGTGACGATGATCGACCAAGGCCAGCCCGCGGACGCGATGTACATGCTTCTGTCCGGGAAATGCGCGCTGATTCGTCGCGTCGACGCGCGCGCCGCCGCGTCTGAGGTGCGTTCTATACACTGGTCCCCATACGACCGCGTTGGCGTGGTGAACGCCGATCCTTAAGGACTTTTGCCGTCGTCCCTCTCCGCCCACCCCACGGTTTCAATACCCGCCCTCGACGCCTTTCAACTCCACCTGGCGCCTTTCAACTCCACCCCGACATTCGCTTGTATAGAACGGCCTCGAGCCAACCCGGGAGCGGCGCGCGGAGCCGCCGTCGTTGCTGTCGCGGTCGCTGAGCAAACGCGGCGCGCTGGCCGCCGACTCGAAATCTAAAAAGCAGCTCGACGCGTGGCTGCGAGAGTGCGTCGGCGCCGCGAATTCGCGCGGGCCGCACGTCGTGGACGTCGAGTTGCGGACAGTCGGCGCGTTCGGGTTGGTCGGCGGCGGCGACGTGATCGAGGAGAGGCCCGCGAGCGCGTACTGCGTGGTGAGAGGCGTGTCTCCGTGCGACGCGTTGTGTTTGTCGAGGAGTCACTTTAAAAAGTGTTTGAGCTCGAAGGCGATCGAGCAGTTCACGAGGTGTTGCCTTAAAACGCCCACGGACGAGGAGTTACGCGAGCGCTTGAAACGGAAGAAGCTCGAAGACGAAGCGGAGAAGAAACGGTGGGCGGAGACGGTCCCTGAGGGGTTTCAAATCGACGTCGCGCCCCCCGTCGGCGGCGCCGAAGCCGCGGTCGAACGCGCGTTGCGTCGGACGTACCGCGAGCGATGCAAAAGCAAAAACGGCGACGCGCGGGGCGTTTCATCCGACACCGCGTCGTCGTCCGACGATTCCAGCGACGACGACGAAGCATCCTCCTCCGAAGAAGACGAAACGTCCACCGACGCCCCGGACGACGCCGTGCTACACGCGCCGATGATGCCGATTCGCGCGGCGGCGGCGGCGGCGGCGGCGGCGGCGGCGGCGCGCGGCGCGAGGAACGACGCCGGCGTCGCCGCCGCCGGCGGCGGCGCGCGCGCGAACGTCGGCTGGCCGATGCAACGCGGGGTCTTCCGCGGCTCCGCGGGGGAGGAGGTCGGGCGGCGGGGCGGTTACACGCCGAGCGGCGCGAAGCGATCGGCGGACCGCGCGCGAAGGGAGGCGCACGAGATGAACGCCGCGATGTACGGAAGGTGCGTGCCGCCGCCGTCGCCGCCGCGCGACGTCGGCTTGCGCGCGGCGGCGAGGCGAAATGACTTAGAGGCGACCGCCGGGCTCGACACCGTCCGAGAGCTCGACGCGTTCGCGTCTCTCGTGCGCGGGATACGCGCGCACGGCGACGCGGCGAGACGCAGGGAGAGAGAGGAGGAAGAGCTGCGCGCGATAAAGAGCAGACTGACGCGGAAGACGGCGTGGCGGAAAGGCGCGATCGCGGGCGGCGGCGCGATGCGGGCGTCGTCCGTCGCGGGCGCGACGCTCTTCGACGTCGCTAAGGCGCGTCCCACACACTGGTTCCCATACGACCGCGTTCACACCTCGACGCCTTTCAACTCCGCTTCTGACGCCTTTCAACTCCACCCCGACGTCGCTTTGAATTATGGAACGACCCTAAGAGCGCGTTGGAGGCGCGCGTCGCCGCCGCGCGCGCGGCGTCGAACCGAGGCGCGCTGCCGTCCGCGTCCATGCGCGTCAAGGAGGACGCCGTCAAGGCCGCGCAGCTGCTGCACGATCCGTCGAAGACGCACGAGCTGTACGCGAACGAGCGGGAGGGCCGCGCCGCGGGCGGGGGGAGGCGGTCGCGAGAGAAGACGGCGCGACGACGCGAGCGCGACGGCGGCGGCGGCGGCGGGGAGTTGGAGATCCCGCCCGCGAACGGCGAGCGCGTGTACGTCCCGGTGAAATCCACCGTCGTGTTGGACCCGCCTCCGAGGCGAACGGGAGACCGCGCGTTCGCGGAGGGCCACGGCAGCGATCAGCCCGCGGGAAAGGTGGCGCGGCGGCGGCTGCGCGCGCGATTGAAAGGCGGCGACGGCGCGTCTTTTTCCGCCGGATTCGAAACCGGATACGACCACGGCAAAGATTCGAAGAGCCAAGCCGACGCGGTCGCGAGCACGGCGAGCACGGCGAACAAGATCGGCAGATCGCACGCGGACGCCGGCGGCGGTAAAGGCGACGCCGGCGGCGACGGCGCGTGCGTCACCGAGCGCGTGGAAGCGATCGTCGTCGCCGCGTGCCGGTTTCAAAACTCAGGTGCGCGTGCGTTCTGTACACTGGTCCCCATACGACCCCGTTCGCGTGGTGAACGCCGATCCTTAAGGACTTTGCCCGGCGCATCTCTCCGCCCACCCCACGCGTTCAATCCCCGCCCTCGACGCCTTTCAACTCCACCTGACGCCTTTGAACTCCACCTCGACAATCGCTCCGTATGGAACGACCCTCAGAGTTGGCCGATTACGCGCACCGAGGCGCGGTGACGGGGAGGAGCTCCATCGCGTGCCTGGATGAAAAATTCCGCGGAATCAACACGACGCGGTGGTCCAGCGATTGCGTGTTGATACACGCGCGGTGCGACGACGACGACGGCGACGGCGTGTACGGAGAAGACGGCGAGGGCGCGTTCGAGTCGGTGGAGACGCGTCGCGTCGCGCGCGCGATCGTCGACGTGTGTTTGGACCTGCACCGCTTCTCGCTCGAGAGCGGCGGCGGCGGGCTCGCGGTCGGCGTCGGGATCGGCTCGGGCTTCCTCGACCTCCGCGCCGGGAAACTCGCCGGCGTCGAGTCCGTCGCGAGAGACGCCGCGGCGCGTCTGTGCGACCTCGCGAACGACGACGGCGGCGGCGTGCGCGTCGACGCGGCGATGTATCCGCTCGTTCGTCGGTCGCACCTCGCGCGCGTGCCCGTGGGCGTGCGTCCGGGCGGCGGCGCGGACGCGAAGCGCGTCGCCGCGTTCGCGGGGTACGAGATCAGCGGTCGCCGCGCGCGCGAGGACGACGACGAGTTCGGCGGCGGCGGCGTCGCGGAGGGCGAGGCCGCGGAGGGCGGGGTCGTGAGGGACAGGGAGAAGCCGACGTCTGGCGCGCCGGCGGCGGTGCCGGCGTTCCGAGGGCCGCTTCGAAGGCGCGAGGAGTATCGCCCGGGGGTCGTCGCGGCGGAGGGCGTGAGCGCGCCGAGGAGCATTGCTGAGATGCGCGAGGTGCGCGCGGGGTTCTTGCGGCGGTTCGACGCGTGCGACAGCGGCGCGCGGCGGGTGAAGACGGTCGCGGCGCGCCGCGAGGCGTCGGCGTCGAAAAAAATCCAAATCGCGGCGGCGAACTCGAGGTCTACCTCGAGGGCGAACTCGAAGGCGACCGAGGGAGGCGACAGCGCTGCGATGCGCGTGCTGACGGAGTTCCTCTCGACGCAGCGCCTTGGGACGGAGAGCGGCGACGGCGGCGCGTCGAAGGCGGTGTTCGATCGAGTGATAGCGTCCGCCTGCTAGACTACGTGTAGTCCACGAGTCTAGTAGTTGTACACGTAGACCAACTCAGGAAATCTCGTCTTCTCGGAATCAAATCTGCACTCACTGCTCCGAAACGCCGTCGGTCGTCCGCCGCATTGTTACGCGACGCGAGATGGCTGCCGCGTCGACCGCGGGATCGCTCGGGTTCGCGCGCGCGCCGTCCTCGAGCGCCGACGCGCTCCTCCCCCGGCGCATTCATGCCGCGAGCAGCGCGCGTCAAAGGGGGAGAGCGGCCGCGCTCCGCGTCGCCGCCGTCGCCGCGGACTGGCGCGAGAAGGCGAAGCCGATCGCCCCCGGGTCGTCCTACCCCGCGAAGGAGCACTGCTCCAACTGCGGCCTGTGCGACACCTACTACGTCGCGCACGTCAAGGACGCGTGCGCGTTCCTCGGCGACGGCATGAGCAAGATCGAGACGCTCGAGCCGGTCGTGCACGGCCGCGCGCGCGACCTGTCCAGCGACGAGTCGCGCCTCGGGGTAGCGCGAGACGTCTTCTACGCTCGGATGGAAGCTCCGGTGCGGGGCGCGCAGTGGACGGGCGTCGTGACGTCCATCGCGATCGAGATGCTCGCGTCGGGCAAGGTGGACGGCGTGATATGCGTCGCGAGCGACGACGCGAACCCGATGCTGCCCAAGCCGATCCTCGCGACGACCGCGGAGGAGATCCTGAGCAGTCGCGGCGTCAAGCCCGCGCTGTCGCCGAATCTTTCCGTCCTCGCCGAGGTGGAAGCGCGAGGGATTAAAAAACTGCTGTTCGTCGGCGTCGGGTGCGCGGTGCAAGCGCTTCGGTCGGTGGAAAAATACTTGGGCCTGGAAGCGCTGTACGTCGTCGGCACGAACTGCACGGACAACGGGCGAAAGGAGACGCTGTCCAAGTTTCTCGACAACGCGAGCGAGGACCCGAAGACGGTGATCCACTACGAGTTCATGCAGGACTACCAGGTGCACCTGAAACACCTCGACGGCTCGTTCGAGAAGGTGCCCTACTTTTGCCTCCCCGCGAATAAGCTCAAGGACGTCATCGCGCCGTCGTGTTACAGCTGCTTCGATTACGTCAACGGCCTCGCGGACATCGTCGTCGGGTACATGGGCGTGCCGTGGATGAACGTGGACATGACCGCGCACCCGCAGTACGTCACGGTGCGAAACGAAAAGGGCGCGGAGATGTTTGACCTGATTCGCGAGCGCGCCGTTGTGACGCCGTCGGTGTCGTCGGGCGACCGACGACCGTTCGTGATGCAGACGGTCATCTCCGACGACGAGGCGACGTTGGGGAGAGGGCCGGAGGAGCCCGCGCCGATCGCGGTCGGGAAGGCGATCGCGTGGCTGCTCGAGAAGATCGGCCCGAAGGGGAAAGAGTTTGGGATGTACTCGTTGGACTACCACACGATTCGGAATTACCTCCACGTGAAGCGACGCTTCGGCGGGGAGGCGCGCGCGGCGGCGCACGTTCCGAAGTACGCGCGGTTGGTCGTGGACGAGTACAACGAGAACGGCGCGATCGACGCGAGGCTGGCGATGACGGGAACGCCCGCGGTGGGGGCGCCGCTGCCGAGGCCGGCGCCGTCGGGAAGGACGCCGGCGCCGGGCGTCGGCGGCGGCGGCGGCGGCGCGGGGGAGGGGACGTCTTCGCCGTTCGGAGGGGCGGATCCGAGCGTCGTCGGCGCCGCGCTCGGCTTCGCGCTCGTCACCGCGATCGCGACGAAACTCATGGGGTCGTGAGGCGCGCGAGTGAGCTTTTCGCGTGTTCAGAAGCTTTCGGTATTATTTTTAGATCATCATTATTGCAGAAACGGACGAAGGAAGAACGTCGGTACGCGCGTCGCGTCGTCGAGCCGAGCTCGACTACGTTATGATAGTTACACCCACGCGCACCACCCTTCGTACATCGACGCGAGGTTATCCTCGTCCGTCGCCGCGGCGATGAGCCTAGCCACGTCGTCCTCCACGCTCAGCGGCGTCTCTTCCGTCACCGCGCGGAGCTCCGTCGCGGACGGCGCCGCGGGCGCTGGCGGCGAAATCGGCGACAGCGCCCTCGCGCGGAGAGTCTCCGTGAGCGCGACGCGACCGTGAAGCTTCGCGGCGACGCAATCGATCAGACGCGTCGCGTGCGGGTGCCTTCCTCCGCGCCAGCGTTTGTGCGCGTTCGCGCGGCGGAGAGGGGGAGGAGACGGCGCGGTGGGGGCGGCGGCGGGCGCGGTCGTCGCGGCGTCGGCGTCGGCGTCGGCGTCGGCGTCGGCGTCGGAATCGGCGTCTGAATCAGACTCCGTGCCTCGCTCGTCGTCTTCGTCTTCGCCGCCGTCGCCGTCGCCGCCGCCGTCGCCGCCGTCGACCGGCGTCGTAAGGGATCCCTTCTCCTCCTCGTCGTCGCCCCCGCCCACGAGACCTAATCCGGCTTCTTCCTTGATCGCCGCGGCCGCCTCCGCGGCGGCGACCGCCGCGCGCATCATCTCGTCGCGCATCCGCGTCGCCGCGGTCGACACGCTCACCAGGTTGAAGCCGTCCGTCGTCGCGCCGGCGACCACCCCCGCCGCCGCGGCGAGCGCGTCGGGGGACGAAGACTCCGCCGCGCTCCAACCCGCGATCGCGCCGAGCGCTCGAATCAGCGCGGGGAGACGTTCGGACGCGGCCGCGACGGCGCGCGCGAACGCGTCGCACGCGGTGGACGCCGCGGCGGCGGCGCCGCCGGCGTCCTCGACGCCGCCGCCGCCGCCGCCGCCGCCGCCGCCGCCCGCGAGCATCGCGTCGAGCGCCTCCAACGCCTTCCCCGCCGCGTCCGCGGCCGCGAGCGCGTCCGTCGTCGCCGCGCTCTTCACCGCTCGCGACGCCGCGTCCACCGCTTTCACCGCGGCGATCGCGTCGGATCGGGACGTCTCGACGAACGCGCGGACGGCGACGTCGCGCTCCGTCGTCGCGTCCGCCGCGGCGACGGCGAGCTCGCGCGCGCGCGTGCTGGCCTCCGTCGCGCGCGCGCGCGCGGCGGCCGCCGCCGCCGCCGCGGGGCCGGACGCGGCGACCGCCGCCGCGTCCGCTTCTTCCGCGGCGGTGATCAAGTTCTCGAGCGCGGACTGGTACGCGACCTCCCAGCCTTCGCGGCCGTCCGCGGAGGAGGCGGTCGGATCGAACGACGAAGATTTCTTCGAAGCCGACGCGGACGCGCCGCGCGCCGCCGCGCCGCCGCCGCCGCCGCCGTCGCCGTCGTCGTCGTCGTCGAAGCTAAAGTCCAAGAACCCCTCCGGCAGCAGCGCGTCCGCGAGCGCGGCCTCGCGCTCCGGCTCCCTGCTCCGCTCGAACGCCTCGACGCCCTCGCACAGTCTCACGACGCCCCCCGCGCGTTCCGCGGCGTCCCAGAGCGCGCCCCGGCGACGCGTCGTCGCGGCGGCGAACGCCTCCACGCGCGCCGCCTCCGTGCGATGCCGCGCGAGCGGCTCCACCATCCCCGTCACCCGCGCCTCGACCGCGCAAACGCGCTGCTCCCATCGCATCACCGCGGCGTCCGTGGACGCGACGTCCGCGGCGCCGGCGACGATCGCGTCGAGCGCGAGCGATCGCCAGCGCCGCGCGTCCGCGTCGACGCCGGGCCACGCGCCGCCGCCGCCGCGTTCGAGCCGGCTTTCGAGCAGCCACTCCACGCGCGCGATCGCCGCCGCGGACGCCGCCTGCGCGCGCTGGACGGACGCGAGCGAGGCGGACGCGGCGTCCGCGGCGGCGGCGCGCGCGTGGGTGGACGCGATCGCGCCGGCGCGGCGCCGCGCGTCCGCGAGCGCGGGCGGCGACGACGCGCGCGACGCGGGCGCGATCGCGATCGCGTCGAGCGCCTTTCGAACGCGCGGCTCGACGACGTCGCGCGCGAGCCGCTCCGCCGCGCGCGCCGCCTCCGCCGCGAGCGTCGCCGCCGCGGTCTCCACTTTCGCGCCGACGTCCTCGCCGTCCTCCGGATGATCGTCGCACAGCGCGCCGGACGCGTTCGCCGCCGCCGCCGCGAGCGCGCGCGTCGCGAGCCGCGACACGATCGCCGTCGTCGTCGCGTCGCGCGCGCGAAGGAGAATCGGCGCCAACGCGTCGCGCGTCGCCGTCGCGTGCCCTTCGTCGAGTATCCCTTCCAATCGACGAAGTAACGGTTCGATTTCGACCGTTGTGGGTTCCCCGGCCGCGCACGCCGCCTCGGCTTCGAGTTCGATCTCGTGCGCCGCGTGCGCGGCGGCGACGACGCCGTGCGACGTCGACGGCGACACCGCGTCCGGGGAGAGCGCCGCCGGGACGACGACGCGCGCGACGACGCGCGGGAGGTTCGCGACGGCGGCGGCGAGCTCGGCGACGCTCGACGTTCCATCTTCCGCGGCGACGGCGACGGCGACGACGCGCGCGAGGATCGCCGCGCGGTCCGCCCTGGACAACGCGTCCACGACGTCGGCACCGGCGGAACCGGGAGGACCCGACGACGCGTCGAGCGTCTCGTCGTCCTCCTCCTCCTCCTCCTCGAGCGCGTCGCCGTCCGAAGACGGCGGCGCGTCGCCGAAGAAACCGCCGTCGCCGAAGCTTGAAGTCGACAGAGCATTCCGCCGCGGGAACCCCGGCGGCGGGTCCCTTGACGCGGTCGTCGTCGTCGTCTCGTGCGTGCGCACGATGTCGCGAAGCCACGCGACGGAGACGCCGCCGCCGCCGTCGCCCCCGTCGCCGGACGCCTCCCCCCACGCGCCATCCACGACCAGGCCGACCGCGTCCGCGTCTGCGACGCCGCCGAAGGAAGATGGAACATCACCCGTGACCGCCGCCGCGCGCGCCGCCGCCGCCGCCGCCGCGCGCAGCCGCGGCAGCTCCGCCGACTCGCGCGCGTCCCACGCCCGTCGCGCCTCCGCGTACTTCCGCCACGTCACCGCGCCGTCCGGGTCTCGTCGCTTCGCTAATGCGACGGCGTCGCGCGCCGCGCGGAGCGCCACCGCCGGCGTCGTCGCGGGCCCGGACGCCGCGGCCGCCGCGGTCGACAGCGCGTCCGCCCACGCGCGTCTCCGATCCGTGCGCGCGTACGACGGCGGCAAGCGCCGCTCGAGGAACGACGCGTACGCCGTCAGCGCCTCCGTGGCGCGCGCGACGGCGCGGTCGCGATCGATCAAGACGCGCGCGCCCTCCGCGTCCGCGTCCGCGACGGCGGCTCGGAGCTCGTGGGGCAGCGGCAGCGCCTCCGGCAGCGGCAGCGGCAGCGGCGGCGTGCGCGTCTCGCGGAGGACGGCGAGCTCGGCGCCGGCGGCGAGGCGCGCGAGGACGCTCGCGTGCTTGTCCGCGCGCGCCGCCGCGTCCGCCGTCGCGTCCGCGATCGCCGCGGACGCGGCGGCGACGCTCGCGCGCGCCGTCGCCGCCGCCTGATGCGAGAACTCCTCCGCGTCGGACGCGGCGTCGGAGGCTGCCGCGGCGGCGGCGGCGGCGCGGAACGCGTCCTCGGCGGCGGCGGTCGCCGCCGCCGCCGCCGAGGCGAAGGCCGCCGCGTCGGACGCGGCGACGCCGACGGTGACGACGGCCACGTCCGCGTCGACGTCCAACCCGCGCATAACCTCCGCGGCGGCGTCGAGCCCGGCTTTCATCTCCCCGCGCGCGCGGGACGCGAACAACGTCAGCCCCGCCGCCGCCTCTAACGATTTGTGCTCGTTCGCCGCGTCGCGCTGCTTCAGATGCGTGTTCCGCGCGATTCCGCCGCCTTCCTCGGTCCACTCCGACAGCGGGTCTCGCGCGAACGCTTCCAGCGAGCCGAGTAAAACCTCCCGGCCGCGTCGCTCGCGAAGCGCTCGCAGCGTGATCTCCATCGCGACTTGGAACGGTCCGCGCGTCCCGAACGGACCGAGCGCGTGTACCATCGACGGCGTCAACCGAAACGGCACTCTCTCCGGCACCGGCAGCGTTAACCCGCGGTCGAACGCGACGTTGTAGTCGATGTGGACGACGTCCCCGGTGGCTAAGTCGACGAGAACGTTGTCCAGGTGACGGTCGCCTAATCCGATGAGGTGGCCGAACACGCTCGCGACGGCGACGGACCGCGCGTGCGCGGTCGTCTTCGACGTCGTCGAGGCGACGCACGGGGCGTTGCTCCACAGTTCGCGTCGCAACAAATCGATCGGCACCTCCGAAGATAACACCCGTAACGTCTCTCGGAGCGCCGTTTTCGGCCAGTGCCGCCGCGACGCCGTCGACGGCAATCCCGCGTTCCTGAGCGCGATCGCGACGCGCTGATAAAACCGATCGAGCGGCCGCGTCGTCGCCGCCACCGGCGGCGGCGTCGGCGGCGTCCACCCCTCCTCCGGCGCGCCCGGCGGCGGAAGCGCGTTCGCCGCGCGCGTCCGGCGCTGCCACCCGCCGAACATCGCGCTGAGCGGCGTCGCGCGCTCGACCCACTGAATCAGACCGCCGTACCCGACGAGCGGCGTCACGGAGTACTCGCGCGCGCACAGCCGTCGTCTCCTCGCGTCGGCGTCGTTCGCGAGCGTCGCGTTGACGGCTCGAAGCGCGCGCATCGCGCGTTCGTCGAGGCGCAAGTCTTCGTGGCCTTTGAGTAAAAACGCGCGCTCGACGCCGTCCGAGCCGAGGAGCACGACGCGCTTCGGACGCGTCTTCGTCGGGAGCGTCGTGACGCGCTCGCGCACGGAGACGACGGCGACGGCGGACGCGTCGAGCTCCGTTCCGGGCATGGGCGTGTGCGTGACGCGGCCTTTCAGCGCGGCCAACGCGGGCGAGACGTCCTTCAAGCGCAGCTCGCGCTTCCTTTGGAGCCCTCTCGCGAGCCTCGCCATCTCGGATTTCACCGCGCGCCACCCGATGACCGGGTCGCTGGACGCCTTGAACGCCTCCGCGGCGGCGGTCACGCCGTCCTTGAACGCGCGCACGAACGCGGCGACGTGCGGCGTCATGAACCCGCCGCCGGTGAGCGACGTCTTCACGATGCGATCGAGCGCGGCGATCGCGGGCATCATCACCGCGTTCTTCCGCTCAATAAACGCCGCGGAGTCGACCGTTTTTGCGTCGTCACCTAAGCGTAACGCCTCTTCCTTGACCAACGCGCAGCGCTTCACGACGTCCGCGTGGAGGTCTCGCAACGACGAGAGGAGTTCTTCGTCGTGCAGGACGCACACGCGGCCAAACTCGGCGACGAAGACGCCCGCGTCCGTGGTGAGCCTCGGGGACGCGCGGCGGAGCGCCGCCGAGATCGGCTCGATCGCCTCCAGCGCGAGCATCGCGTTCGCGACGTTCCGCGCCGTCGCCTCCCGGTCGTTCGCTTCTTCTTCGGCGCTGACGTCGCACGCGGCGGCGGCTTCCTCCGCGGCGGCGGCGGACTCCACCGCGATTGGATACGCGATCGCGTGCGGGGCGTCCGTCGCGACGCGCACGAGAACATCCCGCGCGATCGCTCGCACGCTCGCGGCGTCCGAGCGAAGTAACGATAATAAATGAGGCGTCACCGCCGTCCACGCCCGCGACGGGGTCGTTCGGATGCCTCGGTCGAACGCTTCCGAAACCTCCGCGGCGGCGGCGGCGGCGGCGGCCACCGCGAGCAGTCGCGTCATCGCGTGCAACGACCCGAGGTCGCCGCCCTGCCGCGAATCGAGCGCAAGGTACTTGAAATACGCGATCGCCGCCTCCGCGTACGAGTCTATCGCGTCGCGCGGCAGAGTATCGCCGCCGCCGTCGCGCGACGGATCGGCCGCGGACGGGCCGCACACGCCGTCGACGTCGACGACGCCCTCGACCGTCGCGAACGCCGCGCCGCCGACCGCGCCGGCGGTCAGCGCCGCGGCTCTCTGCTCGGACCAAGACGCGAGCGCGCGCCAGCCTCGCGCCATCTCCGGCGCCGACGCCGTGACGCCTCTCGCTTGGACGCAGAACGCTTTCGCGGTCGCGTCCTCGAGAAAGGACCCGGACCCGTCGGCGATTTTTTCTTCGCGTTCGCGTCGACCCCACGTCGCGAGCTTGAGCTCCGCTCGCGCGCGCACGAGGCGCACGTCGTCGTCGTCGTCGCGCGTCGCGCGCCGCGAGATGTCTTCTAACGCCGTGAAGTCGCGGTCGAGCTTCGCGCGCTCGTATTCCACGAGGAGCGGCCGCGCGTGGCGCGTCTGTGCAGTTTCATCGAGCAATTTTTTCGCGAGCGTCGCGTTCCCGCTTCGACGCGCGGCGATCGCGAGGGTGAACGCGAGCGTCGACCGCGTCGCGCCGATTTTCGCCGCGGCGCGCTCGCCGCCGCCGCAGTCGTCCGCGACGCGAAGCGTCCTGAGCAGTTTCAGCCACGGCGCGAAGTTCGAGACGTCGAGCGCAGACGGCGGCGGCGGCTCGAACGCGTCGGCGACGTCGGCGGCGGCGGCGTCGGAGGACGACGCCGCGAGGAGCGCGTGCGCGCCCGCGAGCTCTAAGAGCAGCGGCGTCGACGCGTCAGGATGCCCTAGCGTCGTCGCCAATCGCAGCGGCTCCTCGAGGTTCGATGCCGCGGCGGCGAGGGTCGAACGCGCGGCGTCGATCCCGCCGCCGCGGTTTCTTTGTTTTTTCGCTTTCAGCATCGATCGAATCACGCCCGCGGCGGCGTGCGAGCACTTCCGCACCGCGTCCTCGGGCGACGTCACGACGCCACCGGACGCGTTACCCCCTCCTGACGGCTCCTCCACGCGACCCGGAGTATCGCTGCCGCCGTCGATCTCGGCCCAGAACCGAAGCAGCCCCGGGTTCGCGGCGGCGCCGCCCACCGCCTCCACGCGTCTCAGCGCGGCGGCGAGCTCGGGCGAGACGCCCTCCGCCTCCGCGGCGGTTCGCATCTCCAAACGCCACGCGTCGAGGCGTTCCCAGTCGCACGTCCCCGCGAGCGCGTGTTCGATGCGCGTCGCGCACGCGCGCGCGCTCGCGGGGCCGGTCGTCTCCGCGTCCGACAGCGCGGACGTGTACGCCGCCGCCGCGGCTTCGTGCCTGCCGTCCGCCTCTTCGGCGGCGGCGCGGACCCAATCGAGGACGCCGCGCGTGCGCGCGCGCGCCTCGGCGTCGGTCCAGTCCACGACGACGCTCGCTTCTTCTCGCGGCGCGTTCGGGTTCGGATTCGGGTTCTGGTCGGTCGTTTGATCGAGCGCCTCGGTCGAGTCTTTGCGGTCGGGTCGAACGAGGACGCGCACGCCGCCGGCGCCGCCCGCCGCCGCCGTCGTCGTCGTCGTCGCGTTTTCGTTCAGCGCGAGCGCGCGCATCGCGTGCTCCGCGTCTCGTTCGGCGGCCGACGGCGGCGACGGCGCGGGCATCCACACGTCGCTCCCCGCGGGCCGCAAGTGCGGCTCCACGGCGTCCGCGAGTCCTCTGAGGGTCGTTCCATACAAGCGAACGTCGGGGTGGAGTTGAAAGGCGTCAGTTGAAGTTGAAAGGCGTCGATGGCGGGGATTGAAAGGGAGGGGTGGGCGGAGAGACGCGCCGGGAAAAGTCCTTAAGGATCGGCGTTCACCACGCCAACGCGGTCGTATGGGAACCAGTGTATAGAACGCGCCTGAGAAGATCGCCCTCGTGGACGTCCACGAGGAGGTTCGCCGCGGCGCGCGTCGCTCGAAACGTGTTCGCCGCCGCGGTCCGCGCGATCCTCTCGTCGTCCACGAGCCGCTGCTCCGCGGCTTCCCTCGCGGCGTGCGCGGACTGCTGCCCCGCGTGCGCCTCACGCACGCGGTCTTTCGCCTCCTCGAGCTTCACTTTCAGGAGGTCGATTTGTTTTTGTTGCTTCGCGGTGACGCCGCCGCCGCCTTTTCGCTCCGTCTTGGCGTTGCCGACGGCGCGTTCGAGCTTCGCGCTCGCGATCCCGTGCTGCTTGTGCGCGTCGTTCAGCGCCGCCTTCGCGGCTTTAAACTCGCGCTTCAGCCTGGGAAGCAACTCCGCAGCCTCCAGCTTCCGCTTCGCCGCGACGTCGCACCGTCGGCGCTGCGACGCGACGCAGCGGTTCACGCGAAGAATCGCGTCGCGCGCCGCCGCCGCGCGATGCCCGCACGCTGTCGACGCCGCGAGCGTCGCCTCTCTCGCGCGCGTCAGCCACTCTTCGCACGTGCGCTGGTTCGCGCGGAAGAAACTCGCGGCGGTCTTGCCCGGCGGCGGCGTCGTCGCCGTGCCCTCGTACGCGTTATACAGCGCCCGCTCGAGCCCGTGCGTAAACTCGACGAGGTGCCACGACGACGTCATGATTTCCGGCGCGGACGGCGGCGGCTTCGCCGCCGCTCTCAGGCAGCGCTCCAGAAGCGCGAGCGTCTCCGCGGCGTTCCCGAAATGCGTCCGAAGGCGCGCGGAGACGCAGTGTCGAGCGCACTCTTGCGTCGCGAACCACAGCGCGGCGTCGTCGGAGGCGCGGACGACCGCCGCGCGCGTCGCCGCCGCCGTCGCGGCTTCCTCGGCGGCGATTTTTCTCTCCGCCTCCGCGTCGCGTTCCGCGCGCTCGCTCTTCGCGCGCGCGCGCTTCTTCGGGCTCTTCGCGGAGCTCTCCTCCTCCGCGAGTGCTTCCGCGGCGGCGGCTCGGCCCGCGGCCGCGGCGTTCAACAGCGACACCGCGACGGAGTTCCGAGACGTCAGCGACGACGACTCGCGCGTCGGCGGCGGCGGCGCGACGCGCGCGCACGCGCTCGTCAACCGCCGGACCCACTCGCGGTCCGCGCCGCGCCGCGCCGGCGGTCGCGCGGTCAAAAAGTTCATCAGCGTCGCGATCTGTTTCGGGTGGAACGCGAGCGTCTGCGGCGCGAGCGCGATGGCGGTCACCCACGACGGGCGGTCGGACGACGCGGTCGCGACGACGGCGGCGCCGGCGGCGGCGGTGGCCGCCGCCGCCGCCGTCGGCAACGCGGACGCGTACGCCTCGCGGACGTCGACGCACTCGTCCCCGACGCGCGTCGTCGCGAGCTGGACGACGTCGAGAAGCTGCGACGACGAGAGAAGTCTCGCGGCGCGTAACGCTTCGATCGCGCGCGCGGATTCTTCGCGGACGTCCCGCGAGCCCGTCTCCGCGCATCGAATGATTTCCGCGAAAATCGACGCGTCCGTCGAGGCGGCGTCGGCGCCGCCGCCGTCGTCGCGAAGCACCGACGCGTCCGAGACCGCCGCGTTCGACGTCGCTTCCAACGCCGCGCGCGCGGCGACGTCGTCGACGTCGCAGAAATCGCGCCCGTCGCCTCGCCGCTTCAAGCAGCGAACGATGAGATCGCGGAACGCGCGCCGGCGTCGTCGCGAGTCGTCCGTCGACGTCGCCGGCGCGCGAACGACGAGCGCCGCCGCGGCCGCGACGCTCTTCTCCACGAGGAGCGCGGGGACGTCCGCGGCGTCGACGTAGTCGCGCGCCAGCGTCGACGCCATGTTGACGTACGTCTCGAACGGCGGCGTCTCTTCGTCGAATCGAATCTGCGTCTGATTCGAATCTGATTCGACCGCGGCGGACGCGAGCAAGACGTCGAGGTAAAACGCCGCGTCGTCCACCGCCGCGGCGGCGTCTGATTTCGATTTCGATAATTGCTTCGTCCTCTCGAGCGCTGCTCCGATCTCGCGCGTCGCCGTGAACCGAATCGTCGCGTCGTCGCTCGTCACCAGCGTGAAGTACGCGTCTCTCGCGCGGTCGCGCTCCCGCGGGTCGGAAGAGCGTCGCATTCGCGCCGCCGCGCCCCCATGATAAGAAAACGCCGCTGCGACGGCGCGAACGAATCCGTCGCGATGCTCTCTCCACGAATCATTCGCGTTCGCGGTGGCCGCGACGGCGTCGAGAACGGCGACGACGGCGTCGAGCGCGCTCTCGGTCGTCGGCATATCCTCGGCCGCTACCGCGTCGACGAAGAGGTCGGGGGGGAAGATCTCCGCCGGGAAGGCGTCCGCGCACGCGCGCGCGAGGAGACCGGCGCACGTGCACGCCTGCCACGTCTCCGTCTCGTCCTTGCGCCAGCACGCGGCTCTGGCCAAGGCGAGCAGCTTCGTCGTCATCGCGACCGCGGTGTCTTTGGGTAAAATTTTCGACGCGAGGTTTCGCTTTGCGATCGCGCGGAAGCACCCGGCGGCGGCTTTTTTCGTTTTCTCCATCGCCTCCGCCTCCTCCCACGAACACGACAAAATGTCGAATTTATTATTCACGAAACGTTTGCGAATGCAGACGTCGTCGCACAAATGCGATAAGACCGTACCCGCGAACGTTTTATTCGCGACCCACTCGCGGTCGAAGCCGCCCAGCTGCGCCGTTACGAGGTTTTTCACCTCCGTCGGCGCGTCATCGTTCATCATCCACGCGAGCAGCGCGTCTGCGAGGTTCGTGAACGACGTCGACGCGCGCGCTTCGTCGCCCGGCGGGAAGATCCATTCGCGACGACGCATCATGATCCTCAAGAGTTTCAACAGCCCGGGGAGGAGCTGCCACGGCGTCAGCGCGTCGTCCAGCGCAGCCTGGCACGCGCGCGCGAGCTCTGGGAACTTCGGGTAAACGATCGCGCTCAGCCGAGTCGAAGCCGCCGCCGCCGCCGCGTCGGCGGCGGCGTCGGCGGCGGCGTTCTCCGCGTCGACGCGCGCGAGCGTCGCGTGAATGCACGCGCCCGCCGCTTCCATCGCGAACGCTTTCGTCTGGAGGTCTTTACCGTCCACGACGCCGCGGTCGTTCTTCGCGAGCGCGATCGCGATCGCGCGCGTCACCCACTGGAAGAAAACGTCGCTTCCGCGCGTCGGCGGCGGCGGCCGCGCGTCGTCGTCGTCGTCGAACGCGCAACCGGCGTCGGCGGTGTCGGCGGCGTCGTCGTCGGCGAACGATTCCGCCGCGATCGATTCGGCGTCGAATCGCGCGACCGCGCACGCGGCGGCGCCGAGCACCCCCGGCGCGGCGGCGCGAACGCCCGGCGCGGGATCGTTCACGAGCGTCAGCATCGCGTCGTGGACGCGAGCGAATCGATCGCCGCCGCCGACGACGGCGGCGCCGGAGAATTCCTTCTCGAGCAGGTCCCGCATCGCGCGCAGCGCATCCTCGCGGACGCGCGCGTCGAGCGACGCGTCCGTCGCCGCGCGAATTCGCGCGACGAGCTCTTGCGCGGGCGCGAGCGCGGGCGCTTGACACACGTGGACGACGTGCGGCGGCGCGGACGACGCCGCGAACGGCGGCGTCGCGTTCGAGGCGGGCAGCCGCGCGCCGCGTCCGGGTCCTCGGCCGGCGCGTCCCGCGCCGCGGCCGCGGCCGCGGCCGGGGCCGGGGCCGCGGCCGCGGCCGGCCTTCTTCTGAGGCTGCGTGTGTTTCTGAGGAGGAGGAGGCGCCATCCTTTACCGCGCGAGCGGGGCGCGCGTCGGCGTCGCCGCGTCGTTCGCGCGCTCTCGCGAGGAGAGTTGAAAGTGGATGGTTAGCCCCCGCTCCGTGGAGGAGGGGGAGCGAGGCGCGACGGGATCAGTCGCCCATGACTCTCGTATCGGCCGTCGTCGCCGCGCGATCGGTCGCGCGGCGGAGAGCTGCGACCATCGCGATCGTAGAAACGATTGGAAGTCGAGCGGAGTGCGTGTCGCGTCGCGCGCGAGGCCGAGTGGCCCGAGCGCGAACCCTCGGAGGACCAACCCTGCCTGCCCTGACGCTGCGCTGACGACCTCGAGAAGCACGCCCGGAGGGTTCGATCGATTTTTTTCTCTCATATTCGGTTTCAACATTTGATATATTTGACCCCATCGTCCTTCAACTGACCGATGAACACGAGGTTTTCGGAATTTTCGTTGGCACTTCCGGAAGCGCGTCGCACGGGATGGCCGCCCTCGCCCTTCTCTCGGTGGTGCCTCCGAGATGCCGCGTCGCGCGCGCGCGCGTCTCTCTTCGCACGCCTCGCGGCCACGTCGCGCGCGCGGGCGGCGACGGCTCGTACCGCGTCATCGAGTACGGCGACGGCACGGCGCCGCGTGAGAACGCGAATTGGGGCGAGGCGATTCGAGAGTCGCGAAACGGCGGCGGCGGCGGCGGCCGCGGCCGCGGCGGACGCGGCGGACGCGGCGGCGGACGCGGCAGAGGCGCGCGAGGCGGCCGCGGCCCGCCTCGCCGCGACGCGTACGAGGACGAGTACGAGCGCGACGACCGCGCGGAGGCGTACTACGACGACCGCCCGCCGCGCGGCCGCGGGTCGCTCCGCGAGAAGGGACGAGGCGGTCGCGGCGTCTCTCGGAGCCGAGGTTTCAACGACGGAGACGACGAAGGGTACGGAGGCGGCGCCGGCGCCGGCGGCCGGGGACGTCGCGACGACGACGGCGGCGGTTCGTATCGCGGCGGTTCGTATCGCCTCCCGAGCGGCGGCGGCGAGGTTCTCGACGTCGCCGGGCAAGAGGGCAGAATCATCGGCAAAGGCGGCGGCATGGTCGCGCAGATCCAAGACGCGACCGGGGCTCGGTTAGACATCAACAGGGACGACGGGACGTGCCGCATCACCGGCGGCGACGTCGCGGCGGCCGTCGCGTGGGTGAACGACATCGTCGCGCAAGGGCAGGAGACGGACGGGATCTCGCGAGGCGTCGCCGCGACTCAGCGGAAATTTCGACCACGCGAACGCGTCGCCGGCGTCGTGTTCGGCGACGGCGACGGCGACCGGGGTACCCCCTACGGCAGAGACCGGGGTGACGACCGGGGTGACGACCGGGGGTATCGGTATCAGGAGGCGCACGGGGACGACGACTACGGGGACGAGTATCGAGGGAACGAAGGCTACCGCGCGAGGAGAGAGTCTTCGCGCGGCGGGTACGGCGGCGACCGCGGTTTCGACCGCGGACCGCCGCCGCGACGCGGGGGGTACCGGGACGAAGGATACGACGGCCCCCGCGGCGGCGGCGGCGGAGGAGGAGGATTTACCGACGAGCGGGTCACGACCGGACCGGACGGCACGATCTACGTACCGTGCGCGGGCCAAGAGGGCAGGATAATCGGTAAAGGCGGGTCCATGGTGCAAACGATCCAGGACGACACCGGGGCGTACTTAAACGTGAGGAAAGAAAAAGGCGTCGTGGAAATCAGCGGCGGAGACGCGCGCGCGGCCGCGGATGAAGTCCTTCGAATCGTCGCGGAGGGTCGAAAGAGCGACGCGGAACGCGGCGGTCCGCGCGATTCCCCGCGCGACGGTTTCAGTAACCGTCGCGACGACCGTTACGACGACCGTCACGACGACCGTTACGATGACCGTCACGACGACCGTTACGACAGCGTCACGGACGATAACGACGACGAGTGGATCCTCGAAGGCCTCGAGGACGAGCTCGAGGAAGGCCGTCGATGGGACGCGAAACAAAAGCGCGCGTACCAGCCGGAGCTCCTCTCAAAGTACGTCGAAGACGACTTCGAGCCGATGGTGTACACGCGCGAGCCGGACGAGGCGGACGAGTACAACTTCTTCAGCGGCGGGCGGTTCAACGCGTTGGGGGCGTCGGAAGGCGTGTCCGAGGCGCTGAAAGAGTTCGGCATCGAGCGGCCGTCGCACATCCAGGCGCTGAGTTACAAGGTTTTGTCCTCAGGCGCCGCGTCGGACGCCGCCAGCGCGTCGGACGAATCAGAAGATGACACGTCATCTCATGTTGGATCCGACGTGGCGAAACCTCCGCCGCAGCACGTCCTCCTCGCGGACCAAGCCGGCAGCGGCAAGACGCTCGCGTATCTGCTCCCGCTGCTGCAACGCGTCGCCGAGATTGAGGCGACGGAGGGCCGGTCGAAACCGTTCCGCCCGCGTCTGCTCATCCTCGCCCCGACGTCCGAGCTCGCGAATCAAG